ATAATACACACTGTACAATTAATTGTAACCAACCAATCAAAATATGGGTACAATAAATATTTTTAAAATATTAAATTAAATGCTACCATCTCTTTTTCCGCTCCGTCGTCCAAAACAGACTAAGACTATACCTACATATGTAATCTTCAAAAGTCTTCACTTTTCTGAGAGCAAAGCTACAGTAACTTTTAAGACATGTAGGTTCCACTTTCAGCGAGATATGCATTTATGATAATGAATAATCAAGCATACACTAATCAATCATTCTGCACATGTCCCATTTGACCTATATGTCAAATTAGAAACAATGCTTAAATGTACATGTATACATTTAAAACTGTAGAAAACGCGACTCATTAATAGTATTTCACATTCAAAAAACTTTTTTTTTCTTCTTTTAAAAGAACTTAGAGTGTAGACAGCATTTTTAAAAATAAGTTGTCCCTAATTGAAATAAAAGGTTGATTATTGTCTGCATATCATTTTGCACCTGTCCCATTTGACCTATAGGCCACGTTAGACAAAATGATTTTTTTTAAAATTTCAGAAATGCTGGGCATTATTCCTGGGATAAATTTTCAGCCCTCCTTTTTAAATAGCAGTTGGTCGAGGATGTGTACTCAAAACCAAAGGTAAAGTAGAGGTGGTAAATGCAGTCAAGGGTTAACTGTCCATCCACAAGGTGGCTGTCAAATTGCAGTCTTTCCTATGCATAACATACAAATGTATGCATATGGTTGGTGGAAGAGTCCCAACAGACCACATTCTCGTCGTCCCCTTCTGGACAGTTTACTTTGCCTTGAGTTTTTCATGAACATCTTATTACAAGTCCATGCAGTGTAGACATACATGAACCTAGAGTGTATGTTTATTCTAAAACTACATGCGGTAGCGGCTGAGTGAATAGGTATTTTATTTACTGACAATATAAATGTAGCAGTGTAGACATACATGAACCTAGAGTGTATCTTTATTCTAAAACTACATGCGGTAGCGGCTGAGTGAATAGGTATTTTATTTACTGACAATATAAATGTATACTCACGGTGGATCAAGAAATATTCCTAATAAAAGGAACCTATACCCACTGAAAAATTAATCGCTAGCTCAGGAATTTGTTGACACATAAACTTCAAAAATGACAAGGTATCCATCCATATATATTTATGTTTACTAAACAGAGAAGAGGAATGCTACTTAATGCCTTTCTTCACTAAATAAAGATTTAATTGCTGTAGCTAAAAATAAAAAGGAGCCCCCCCCTCCTCTCAATTTACATATGGTGTGTTTTTATGCCCCTGGATCGAAAGATCCTGGGGGTATATTGTTTTTGTCCTGTCTGTCTGTTTATCTGTTTGTCTGTCTGTCTGTTGTCAACTTTAACCTTGCCCATAACTTTTGATTGGTTGGAGCTATGACTTTCATATTTCACATGTGTATTCCTTGTGACAAGACCTTTCTTTGGGTACCATCATATTTGACCTTTTGACCTTGGAGTTTGACCCACTTTTGCAAAATTTTATGAGACTTTAACCTTGGCCATAACTTCTGAACAGTTGATGCTTGGGGTTTCAAACTTCACATGTGTATTCTTTGTGACAAGGCCTTCCTTTGGATATCAACAACTTTGACCTTTTGACCTTGACCTTGGATTTTGACCTACTTTTGAAAATAAATCTTTAACCTTGGCCATAACTTTTGCACAGTTGGTGCTTGGGGTTTCAAACTTCACATGTGTATCCCTTGTGATAAGACCTTCCTCTGGATATCAATCTCTTTGACCCTTTGACCTTGACCTAGGAGTTTGACCTACTTTTGAAAAACTTTAACCTTGGCATAACTTTTAAATGGTTGGAGCTAGGGCTTTCATACTTCACGTATGTAATTTTTGTGACAAGACCTTCCTTTGGATACCAACCACTTTGACCTGTTGACCTTGACCTCCGAGTTTGACCTACCTTGGAAAAACTTTAACCTTGGCCATAACTTTTGAATGGTTGATGCTAGGGCTTTCATACCTCACATATGTTATCCTTGTGACATCACCTTCCTTTGGATATCAACCCCTTTGACTTTGACATAGGAGTTTGACCTTCTTTTGAAAAACTTTAACCTTGGCCATAACTTTTGAATGGTTGGTGCTAGGGCTTTCATACCTCACATATGTAATCCTTGTGACAAGACCTTCCTTTGGATACCAACCACTTTGACCCTTTGACCTTGACATTACTTTAACTGTGTTAGGCGCAAAAAAAATCAAGTTGTAGTTTTACGAAATTGAGTTTGAATCGAACAAGAAATTAGATTAAATCAAGCGATTAAGGCGTTATTCTATGATCAAAACACCGTTTCTCTACATATGTACTTCTGTCGTAATTTTATCGGTTCCTTCCTTCAATTTCTGTGCATGATTTTCATTAAAAAGTAACATTTAAACAATAACGATAATAATAATTAATAAAACATCTTTTTCCAAACTTGTTAAATTGTGGATCGAGGGTCCAACCTCACAAAAAAACTGGAAGACTTCCACATCACAACACCAATGGTTCCGGTGGTGATCTTATTAGCGTCAATATAAAAAGACTTTCTTAACTTGGCTCGCCTCCGAAGTTTCGTCAAATAAATCAAACGACTAGGACTCATTAAAATGGGTAAAAATTATTCTTTTTAGCGAAATATTTTAGAATAGAATTACAGAATTTATGACCTAATCACTCATTATCAATCCATCAAAACTTTACTTTAAAATGGCCCTATCGGGACACCAGAACAATGTGCGTTTGAAAGAGATGCAATAATGTGATGCAAGTTTTAATTCAAAAAAAAGAAAAATAAGAAAACAGCTTTGGTTCAAATTTTACGGTGCTATATTTAGTACATGCAAATATTAATTTATTTACTTCTTAATCTGAAAACAGAATGTTGCTAGTACGACTTATTATCTCGTTAGCGCGATGTATTTTGCCGATCGCACGAAATAATTATTCATTTCTGTTCATTTTTATTTCAACCTGCCCAAAAATTAAAATTAGACAAAAAAATTATGCAAATATGCAAACAAATATATATCGTGCGAACAATAAAATTTGTCGTGTTTGTAACCTTCTGTTTTCTATTATAGCTGGCAATTTGCTTTCATAAATTCATGCATTACCACAAAAACAGTTTGTTTTATTCAAGACATACAAGCAAATGAATAAATAACACAATTCATATTATTGTTTATAGTACGTGTCCTTTACATCTGACATCGTCGCAAGCCACGGGTTTTGTGTCCATTCTATTTCCACAGGAAATAGAATGGACACAAAACCCGTGGCTTGCGACGATGTACATATCTGCATGCAATGTTTCCATGAAAGTGAGAATGAATATTATGCACAGCTTTTTTTTTCATTAAAACAGTCACCCCCATGGCGCAAGTTGGGTAGAGCGTTTGCTCTAGTCACGCGGTAGGGAGATGATCCTTACATCGCGGGTTCGAATCTAACTGTGGGACGTGAAGAGCGATCCTTCGGATGAGACCCTATAAACTGAGGTCCCTTGTCGCAGTAGTACTGGCACAAAAAAGGTCCCACACTGCTCAAAGGCCGTAAGTGCCGAGTCCACGTCTTAAATGGCAAGTGGTGGCATTTAGATATGAGGGGAAAATTCTCGGAGGAACTTAATCCCTTTCATGTTTTCTTTTTGGGTTTTTTAAAACAATTTATGTTTTTCTCTATGTCTATTTTCCTTCATTTGCTCGTTTTCATTTTTTCTTTCACTTATGATTTTGTTTGTTTGTTTGTTTGTTATTTTAATGATTTCGTATTCAAACTTTTCATCAAGATAGATATTAAAGGACATTCAATTTCGCAATTTATATTCTCGTAATATTTTTCTGTATTCAAGATGTTATATTATGCAAATGAGAAAATATGTCGTTATGTAATATCTCGTTCGAACGACTAAATAAATCGTGCGAACGAAATAACTTGTGCACACGTGATTTCTCACACGAACGGCACAATAACTCTTCTGAACGTCAAAGGTCGTGTGAATGATATATTAAGAATAAAAAAAATATATATATGCATGTCTTGAATACTAGTATATCACAGTAAAATTCCTAGTCCAAACGAGAGACATTTACCAACGTTTGCATGCAAATCCATGTCTTTAAATGTTCAACTCTATACGCACTTCTGAAATGCTTTCAAAGATCTAAACCATATTGCCATGAACAGGTCTAGGCGGCCTCCGTTTTGGAGGATATTTTTATCATCCAAAATCATTGGATAGCGCTTTCACCATCTACTTAAAAAAAACCCGAAGGGTGGTGAAGCGTTTTTCTTTCTCTGTTTAAGGACATTCGCAACGTAGTTTGAACTTCATTGTCTTTTTCCCTGGAGTTTAAGAGTTTCAATACTTAAAGGAACTGTGTGCTACATTTTAATGTCTATATATGCTGTTGTACACTTCTTCTAAAACAAGTTTAGATAAACAAAACATCTACAATATATATTTATTTATATTTATTTATTTTTGTATATTTTTCTTTGAATTATGCAAGAATTTTCATTAATTGATATCTTTTCAAAACCCCTGGTAATGCATGCTGATTTTTTGTCTATGAACATCTGATGGCACTATAATCTTAAATGAAGAATATCTCGAAAAATTATCAGTATGTAAGGTACATTGCGTATGTCCTTAAAATAGGGTAAACGGTTGAATCACTGCTAATTTGTTACCCCATCCCAACTCCATTTATCATCATATTACAAGCTCCCAGCTTCGTCCGATGGTGTGTAATCTAACCGGGGGGGGGGGGGGGGGGGAGGAGGGAGATGGTAACATACAAGTTACAAACTTGAGCATCAAATTAGACCATTTCTAGCATAAAGTGGTGAAGTGATAGGCAACTTGTCTCAATACTTTTTCCCCATTTTTACATTGATACCAGTCAGTTCAATCTCCCACCTTCATTCTTAAGTCTAAATCAAATTACAATCACATCATTTCACTCTCAATTTTATTGAAAGTTTTACACAAAAAAATATACAGCGCAACATTTTTCAAAATTCTTAAAACCAGCTACTTGGCCTGGAGGGATTACACAAAATAGTCCCTTGGTCACAATGCCACGTCACTGCGTAGAGATTTTGCCCTGTTCCTAATCTACCGTTTACTTCCTGTCAATAGGAATCTCTTTTGATCCGCCTCCCTTAACTTTTCCTTGGATCACCAGCACACCCTCGTCAGAGAAAGTAGAGATGATGCTGTCTGAATCAATTCCCTGTTTTAAAAAAAAGTTGATATATTATATGACCGTTTTCCAACTTTAAATTGTTGGGGCACAATACACAATTTTAGGTAACAAAAATATTTTCAATTGGAGCTTTTAAGAGCAGTTTTAACCCTATCTGAAATTAGATTTTTAAAAGCGATTTTGGCTTAATGTGGGAGGATTGCTTAATTGCTTTCAAAGCAAAAAAGTCCAGTCAAGTTCATTCCAATGATCATCGTCGCAAACCACGGTTGTGAGTCCACCACAATTTCCCTCAAATGACCAGGATATAGAGAATATTGATGTGATTCTCTTCTGGGTTTAATACCAACGATGTTCAATGACAAGAAATTATCTGATCTCATAGAATGTTCTAGCACATGCAATTTATATACAACATAAGTGTATTTTAATCACCTGTGGTATGGTGTACTGTTGTGTAAACTCCTGGGCGAAATAACTGTGTCCCTCCTCCGACTTCTTCTCATGCTTTCCAGTAATGGTCAGTTTGTTATCCTGGATTTTCACATTTATTTCTTCGGGTTTGAACTGGTGAACATTCAGCTTGATCTTAAGTTTTTTGTCACTGATCTCAACCTGAATAAAAAAAAAAATTTCTTCAACAGCCAATAAAGATTCTTGGCACATTTAACATGGACAGTGACTAGCCAACAGAATCTTAGTGAACCATCCCTTTACTTTAGATATGAAGTTTCATCAAAATGGCTTGTATTTTTTAAAGTGAATTTTCAGGCAATGGCAATAGTGTAAAACGTACTTTATGGACAACCGAAAAGGGGGGGGGGGGTAGTAGTAACACTTTTTTTAACCAGGACAATGTTAAGCCCCCCCGTTTCCAATTTTGTGTGAAAAATAAACGATAAGGGTACTTCTTTTAGAAGGGTCGTGGCCATGTGGGGAAGAAGTGTTTACATTAATCATTATTCATCGTAACAAGTTTACCTCACACGACCTTTAGTTGAATAAGCAAAGGGAAGCAATTCAATTTCTTGTTTACGTTCTGTGTATCGAACAGGGTCATTTAAGGTCAAAGGCCTTATTCTTAAATCCAACAAAATTATGTACATTGAACACTTTTAGAATTGCATGGTGCTTAGAACAAGCTAAAACGTGGCAAAATGATACTTTAAAAATGCATTTTAACGCATGTTAGGGATATTGCAGGTAGTTTGTACAGACTTCGACATACCTTCGATTCCTCTCCTCTTGCAGGAAAAGACAAATATTTATGTTCCAGATAATTCTCCATGTCTCGCATCATTTTCTCTACATCTCGGAAACGATTGGCGAAGGACTCGGGTAAAATTCTGGATGGAAGGACAAAATCGTTCCATGGTTCTAGGGATGTGCGTTGGTGGTCCTTTGCGCTATGTTGGTGAACTGGTATATTTCGGTCTGCAAATCCCCTACATGCCAAGGCCTGGACACCTCGGCTCACCCTAGGACAAACCCTCGAAATAATTGCTAAACTCATACTAGATAAACAAGGGAAACCTCACTGCGTCGCCACGATGTATCTTATATACCAAGGTGACTCTTCTACGTTTTTCTCGAACTATCTCGCACAGCGCATGAACAAGATAAATTTAGAACAAAGAAGGGTTTTTCTATGGAATATCGATTACGTCAAAATTATTTTTTAATTTTTTTTACATAATATTTTAAAAAATTATTTACCAACCAAGAACGTTAGCAAAAACAGATGCTTCTTTCTAAAAAAAAAAAAAAAAAAATTAGTTAATCTATAATAAAATAATATAAAAATATTTTAGTCCGACAGTGACTCGTTGAGTACATGTAAAACAGGGACACAGTTTTTAACATATTTATTGATGATTTTACGAAATATTTAGATTTCTCAAAAAAAAAAAAAAAAAAAAAAAAAAAAAAAAAAAAAAACAAACAAACAAACATGCATGCCTTGTTAAACTGAACAACATTCAGTTTAATAATTTATTTTTTGCAGAAGATTTATTACTTATATGAGAATCTGCATATGGGCTAGCTACATGGTCTAACTCATTGGAAAGATACTCTGTAACTGGAAGTTAGAAAATACACATAAAACTAATGCTTAGGTATTTTCTATGATAATTAACAAGAACTACTTAACAATATGAAATGCAAATTTTGATCAATGTCAGAAATTTTTGTTGCAATTTTGTAATTAACTATTTAAATGACAGAAAAAAAGAATGTTTATAAACTTGTATTGTTTATATTTGCGATGGAAGAATTATTTATATGCTTTAATTGAAGCAAAATTACATTATTGTCGTCCTGTACAATATTGATTTCTTATAGAATTTATTACCAAATCAGGACCCAATGCATGGGCATAAACATATAACTTATATAATTACAGATAAGATAACAGACAGAATACAACATTTAATGAAGAGCAATTCTTCCATTTAGTACATTGGTGGTATTTTGAGTTTCATATTTAGGCATAAGTTGTTTTGATTTAAGATATATCTGCAATTTCAATTGATACAACTTAATGTGCAATCATGCGCATTATTATTAATATTATACATATATCTGAAGACATAAAATGTCTGATACATTAAAAAAAAAAAAAAAAAAAAAAAAAAAAAAAAAAAACAGCAAGAGTCGGTGCTAAAAGATATACAGAAATCCACTTCTGCCTCATGTAGAATAAACAGATACATAATTTATGGAAAGGAGTATTAAAAAATAATAATAATGATAATAAAAATAAAAAATTGTATAATATTACACATTCCATTGTACGGAAATCTTTCTTCTGAAAAAAATTTAATACTTTATATTAGTCTAATTGATCATAAAGGTTTAAATTACATACATATTTATCATAATATCACATTTTACATTTTAACAGCAAAATAAATTTCTCAAAAATGCAGCTCACATTGCTTTAAAAATTGAATTGTAAAAAATGAGGTGTAAAGAAAACGTCACGTTATTGATTTGGTTGATGAATATAAATATTTGGGTGTTGTCCCAAAAAATAGTGGTAAATTGAAATATGCATGTGAGAATTTAGCAGGAAGATAAAGGAGGGAATAATTTTACAATTAAATCTAAACTACCAAAGAATCTCATGCAAGTTATATGAACCATGCATTTTACTAATTTTGACTTACCGGTACGTATTTGGAAATTTTAAGGAGATTGAACAAGGCGTGTAGAATGCCCATAGCTTCAAATATATAAAAATTATATTCAATGTGTGAATTCAGTATTTAGAGTAAAGTTCTCATTATTGAAATTTATAAAATTTCTGAGGAAAATTTTCTCGGCAAAAATTATTCTTTTATATAATTTCCAATCTAATTTATTGATTCACCAAACATGTTGACATACAACCATGTTACATACAGAATTACAAGTACAATGTGTTATCAGATTACTAAAACACATACTAAAGTACAGTGTACATACATAAGTATACAAATCAGTGAAGTCAACTATGTTTACAACTTTAAGTTCATACATATATATAATCATTTTGCAACCAGTATAATATGAACAGAGATGAATTGATTATACGTATAATGTATTAAAAAAGTTTAGAACGCATTTCAAAGCATTCTTGTAAAAATTCACATAGCCTTCTAGAATGAACTGCATTGTCAGGATTACAAAATACGTTACAATGATTTTCCTTCAAAATGTTATCATTTAAATTACAGATGTTCAAAGAATAATACTTTTTTCGTAAAGTCATAGATGAAATGTATTTCATTTTCTACAAGTTTTACAAAAGTGACATAAACGAGATTCTTTTGGGATACAAGGTTTTGAATATCTGCCTGTTTCAATTTCTAAAAGGTGTGCAGAAATTCAGAAATTCTCGGTTTCATTATTTTAGAACGTACAGTTTTATTAATTGGCCATGGAAATTTCAAGAAATCTTGTAATTCATAGTTCTTTCTAATTTGACTGTAAAAAAATAATTTAACACATTTGGAGAATTCAATGTTCTGAAGTTGCAATTGCAACATTTTTTATATAGAAATCTTTCAAACAGCTGCTAAATGTATTATCAACAATAACTAATGAAGGAAGTTTACGTTTCTTTTTTAATTTATCAATCTGGCCGTGTCATTTTTCCTTCAAACCATTATTTTTATTATTATGGTTTTTAGTGTCCTGTAATATTTAATCATAGAGATAAAAGCGTTGCAACAAATAGGGAGTGACTGTGTTCCTAGCCCATATTTAATGGCTAAATTTGAAGCTTTTATATATATAAAAATAATAATGTGGTATTCGTAGTTCGAACCCTAGCAATAAAAATTCTGAGTATCATTATATCCTTTGAGACTAATACACTAACCACTGTGCTACACAGCTCTAGATGAGTGGTAGCATAAAATCGTGTTTGTGATAATGAACTTCAAGTATTTCTCGGAAATGTTTGAATGTTGTGTTTTAAAAGTGTATTTTTGATATATAGTGGGTCTTTACTCCATGCTTTTGTTAACCAGAAAATGTATATTTTTTACGCAAACTTTGAGGATAAACTTTCAAAAATATGGAGCAAAGACCCACTCATATCGAAACATTGCGTTTTAGTATTAGAAAATGATCCTTTTTGTTCCTTTCATAGACAAATAATTTCAACCTTTGTGAGATTTTTGCAAAGTTTGGAGATTTTACATAAAATATACTTTAATTTTAGATGAAATATCAAAGAAAATTTTGCTATAAATGAAATATTTTTTTACCTTCATGTTTGGCGCGCTATAATCATTTCGTTCGCCCATCTTCTTTGGTTGAGTGATTTTAAACAAATGACAAAACTCCATTTGAAAAAAAATCCAAATTTCATCTTAAAAAACATTTTAGGGGTTCATAACAGTTATAGCAGAGTTTGGTGCTCTTCCCATTATTTTCAGAATACATGAATTATTGTATAGAAATTATTACTAAAACAGATTACAGAAAAAAAAATTTCAAATCAGGAAAACTCAAACTTGCTTTTACACTATGCATACCATAGAATTAAGACGAAAAACTTGCAGGAAATGGAAAGCTTATTGGCAAAATGTAGTAATCGCAGAATACTTGATGATGTTACTGGTTCAAACACTAATACAGTATCTATAAATGATTTTAAAAATAATTTGAAAAAGTATTTTGAGAATATAGTTTTCAGAAACACTGAAAATATAAAAGAAAAAGGTGATTCAGTGAAAATTGTCATTCTACACCAATTAATAAGTTCACAAAATCTAAACAAACTGGAAATTCAACCATCTTTGTTCTTGAGAGATACCATATAGGCAAAAACTGTGTACATGAAAGGATCCAACCTTACATTTACAGTACCAGAATACAAAAGTTCCCAGTCGGCACACCTCGGCCGATTCGTACCTCATCTAACGTTTGATGAAGGCAACGGAATCATCCGAAGTTTGCCGAATGCTGTGGCGAACTCTGGCTACAAAGATGGTTTTGGACGACACGTAGCTACTGTACTTTGAATTTTTGTTCAAGTGACGCTTTTGTATGTCTTTTGCAATAAAATGCTGTATGTGCACCATCTTTCTGTAATGCTCATGAATAATTGTATGCTATGGCCATCTTTACATGCTAGGTTCATAATGTAATATTGCGAGTCTCAATAGGAAAATTTATGGCGATTGCTAAAAAGCTGTCTATACTGATAGTGATGACAAAGGTGAAAACAAAGCATTTCATAATCACTCAAAGTTCACAAATCACAGAGAAAACTCAAAGTTTACAATCACAGAAAAAACTCAAAATTTACAATCACTCAGAAATTAAAATAGACTCAGAAAACTCAAAATTTACAATTACATGTATATGGAATACAGTTTCACAATAAGTCAACGGTATGTTATTCCAGGAGAAATCATACAGAACCTTCACATTTTGATCGTGTAAAAATCTTAGAAATAGTTTTCTTCCTTACTTTATCGAGATTATTTCTCTTTTACTCACTTTTTTGTCATAAAATTAAACAATATAATTATTCTTTCATCTCTCAAGATCATTCCAGTGCAAGAAATTCTCTTAACACATAATACTTGTACGTATACTTTTTTTTCTGATGTGACAACGCAAAACGTACACCCTTATAAGGAAGGGTTTCGACTTTTAGACATATTGATCTGTACGCACCTGTTTGCGTATCCTAGCTATGTATGCATTTAAGTCGCTTTATACATTCTTTATGAACAAATCACGCATGGAAAATTCCAAAGAACAAACAAAAATATTATTAAAATGAAAAGTATTTTAAAGGATAAAATCACATTTTAAATGACCCGTCTCTTTTCATTAATTAAAACCTCCTAATTCAACCCATCCTATTAAGGAGGCACTTATTCCACCAAGCTAAAAGGGTGTTAAAACAAAATGTTTTTCCTTAATTCTTTCCGAATCAAATGCATGGACATTGGCTCGTGTTTGACATTGTTCTGAATAAAAAGCCTAGACTACAAACAGCGCTTTAGAACTGTTACTCTAATCCCAAGGGAATTAAGCAATTTTGCATGTAATTGTTAATCCATCAAGAGGATCATGTTAATCCACAAATTTCAATAAAAAGGTCTGCATGGTCCACTTCGATTCACTTACATGAGTCTTGAACACAATCTATGAATACTGTAGAAAAAATGGATCTATAATATTTAAGTGAACCTATCTCTTGCGAAAAAAAGGTGAAATGAGTCGTCCAGGAACAACACCGATTCCTAATTTTTCGCTGTCGTCTGCGAAGCTGAAGACACCTAGACAAGGCGGTAATATAGAGGCCAAAGCCATCCAAAGGAGCTTCTCCTGTAGGCCCAGATCCAACGAAGAAGCTAATCTCACTAAACAGGACAACAGACACTGGTCCAAAATCCGCGACATGACAAAGGACCGCTTCTTCACAAAGCAGACGATAGTTAATGTGTCAAAGAATGCCAAGGATGTAGAAAACAGCAAAAAAGACAAAGGACAATCGTTCTCCGATGAAAACAGACGTAATCAAACGTCATCTCGGTGTTCTACCAAAGCCAAAGAATCTACAAACTGGTCTAAAGTTCGAAAAATGACCAAAGCTGGATTTTTCAGCACTGCTAAGATTATATCCCATCCTCCTCCAGACAAGACGGAATCTGTTAGGTGTGGAGTTTCTCAACTGAAAAACGAAAGCGGCCTACTGGACAACAAACTCTTAGACAGTCCTCCCGTCTCTTCAAGACAGTCTAAAAATTACCATGATAAACTGAATCGTACGAAATATACAAACGGCAAGGATAAATATTGGAAACAGAACAAGTCCGAAATGATTGTGGACAAGTCATTGAAAGGTATTCTCAAACAGAAATATGTTCAAAAGAAATCGCAAACGACAAATGTTAAATACATAGACATTAGTTCAGGGAAACAGATTGTTTTTGGGGATCTTGTAAGATCTCGTCGGAACTCGGCTACTTCCGACTCCTCTCGTTCTACGTTCAATAACGAAGAAGGGCGTCCAATGACGTCATATGTTATCGGACAAGAGTCTAAATTCATTAACACTGTAAATATCATACAAAACTTCGATGTACCAAAGAAAGAACTTCAGACTTTGAATATGAAGAATATGACACCATTCAAATATGTGTATGTTCTCAGCAAATGTCTTCCACAGATTATTTGTAAAAACTATAGACCTGCATCTGTTCCGGCAGATAATGATCCCCTTTATAACCAAAGACTGCAGGAAAATCGACCCTCCTCAACTCGCCCCTCTACCCCTGCATCTTCTTCTGAAGGAATGCCAACAATACCAGAATCTTCGCCAGAGATTAACATATCTTCTTGATCTTTTGTTTGTTTCGATATTATTTCAAATGTTAACCATGCAATATTGAATATACATATATAAAAGTAGTTGTTAAATTGAATGCATAATGCCTGAGTGTTTGGGGTTTTTTTTTATCACGTACTACGTATCACTCCAAAAAGGTATTAGCAATGTTCAGCACTCTGTCTGACTACACTGATAAAAGAATGTGGGGAGTAGAAACCGTTTATCACAGAGCCTGCGTAGAATGTGGGAAGTTTAAAGGAGGGGATGTTTACTTTTACTAATTGAAGATGACTTGGGGGGGGGGGAGGGGTTACTAAATCTTAGTAACTGAAGACGACTTGGAGAATCTGCAGTATTTTAACAACAGAGGAATCTTCAAAATGGTATTTCCCTTTTCCTTGGTCAGCAGCATATTTTTCTTTCAATTCAAATAACAGCAAGCTGCAAGCTTAAATAAATGAATATAGTCTTCTATTAAAGTAAATTTTCTTCCATAATTATCTTGGTTCATTTTCTCTTATTTATGACTTAAGAAATCACCCTTGATTCCAAGATTTCCCAAAGAAAATGAATGTATTTTGGGCATGTATAGAGTGTACAAAGTCTGAGCAAGATTAATGTCTTTAATCTTGTAATGGAAAGAAAAGGAATGAAATAAAAAACTTCAAACAAGTTAGAAATCAAATGCTTTTCAATTTATATACAGGTAGAATGTCATGCTCAACAAGACATCTTTATATATAATCACTTGATTTACAAGTTCTCCTCTAAAAGATGGCACAGAAATTTTACAAAGTTAGAAAAAGTCTCTTTTCTCATTTTGGATTCTGCATTTTCAGGTTTTGAAAGGTCCGAAAAATTTGAGAAGTATTCTGTAATATACTCTGAAAACACCTCCTCCTACAAATGAAAAAATAAATGCATATAATACATCATTCTGTTTGAAGTAGATAAAGATCGTAATAAACTTTTCAACAAGGACTAATCAAATGTTTGCTAAGTAATACAAAAAATTGTACTGGTATTTTAAAACCTTGTGATAGAAATTTTTTTTATTGCAATTCAACTAACAAATCAATACATCAAATTTAGTAACTGACGTTACCTTTGAAAAAATGGTTGTGGCAGTGAGTATATGGGTTTGGTCTGTCAGTGAAAAATAGCTCTGAAAACTTTCATTATCATTAATCTCCACTCCGCAATCCATACAGGAGATACTGAATGGACAAGACTTACACCGTGTCGTAAAGTCATCGATAAAAGTCTGAGAAACTGGACACGGTTTAACAGAACGACAAGTCAGTGCATCATCATCTACAAAAAATAAAGAACATGTATTGTTGTAAATGATAACAGTACCTATTTGAAAGATACTTCACAATCCAATTTGATTTATTTTTTAAATAAAGATTTTGAAATGATTGTACTTGAGACCCAGACCTTTAAATGGAAATTTGATGATATCTGAAGTTCCCCTTTGAATGCTGGCTTCACACTTTTCTTTGGAGGAGAAGATACTGAGAGTCCTGGGACAAAGATATCCGTTGACTGCCAGGAGTTTGGGGGAGGAGCAGGGTCCCTCCATATCATGGTGATAATCCCATCTCTCCCTGCTCTGAAATGTTATTTGGACTAAATATATTTCAAGATTACAACATTCAACATTTAATGGAAGGATGTGATTTCATGAAGTTGTTGAATCATGATTACTGGTTATTACCTTATTGCTTTGAATAAGGGATTTCCACAAGTATTTGGTTTATACTCAAATGCTCAAAAGGTCAGAGTATCAAATAGAAAAATCAGTACATGTACTTGATTATTTGGGGAAAAACTATGCAATGATTTTTCATTTTTTTTTTTATAATAATGGCCCGAGTACTTGAATACTGGATCGAAAAGACAAGCAAGTAAACAGTAACTAAAAATTGATCAATTTAATTTTGACAACCCTACTTTAAATTTAAAAAAAATTGATAGCATCATCTCTGTTAGCTTAATCTCTCACTCAAGCATAAGAAGGAAAAATACCAACATTGTATTTTCCTATACATGGGATGCATTAAAGTTCTGAAGAACAACAAACCAATTCAAATTAACATATAATGTTGAACTTTCCAATCTCATTTTTAAACTTTGCATTACCGTAATTAAACAACTCTTTTAATCCTTTCCGTACATTTCTCTACCTTGACCCCTTTTTATGATATTTTATGCAATTGATATAAATCAATTTGCATAATAAAACAAGTGTTACATTAAATAAAGAAATCCCACACGTGCTCATTTTTCATGAGGGATGTTGCAAGAGAATTCAATGTCAAACTAAAACGGATTAAGATTATGAATTAATCTTATTCCTATTTTAAAACTTAAATCCCAATATTTGAATTGTGAATGGGAAATTAAACAACCTGTCAAATCTCTCGTCTAATCCCTCCTAAATGATGTCTAATTACAGAAAGAACTTCAATAGGGATTAACTATATTTAGTTGCATACATCAACTTCAAGATTATTATTTCCAAAGGCAGACAAAGTTTCTCTGTCTAGTAAATTGTACTTAAAATGTGACTTGTTGCTAGACTGCTCATTAAAGCATTATCAGCTTCTGCCAAGTATGCACCTTGAACTGTGCCAACTTCTTATTTTTCTTATATATTAATAGCTGTACCAAGTTTAATATTGGGTGGATATGTCATCAACCTTGAGGAATTATTCTTTTAAGTAATTTTGACAACCCTACTTTTGTTATGACTTTTTCTTGTGTCCAGAAATTTATAAAATAATAAATGTGTTACAGATGCTTAAGTTTTGAATATATCGATATCACACATATATGATAATTAAAGATTGAATTAATCCGTCTACACAACTTTACAGGGATGGACATCATCTTATATTCTCATTTGTTCATTTGGCAAGAAGACTCCAAAATTCACTTTCCCAAATATTATTTTGATTTTCCCCAATCCAATGAAAGTTCCATTATTTTAGAGAGAAAATAATTACATATTTAATTTCCACCAGTTAATTTGTCAAGGCGTAATAAAAAAAATCATGTTTGTCTATGGTTACCTGACCACCCTATATTTAATCACCAACCTAAATGTTTTTTTTTTTTTTTGTCATAAAAATCCAGAAGTCATGGTCAAGCATTAGAAACCAAAATCGAAAGTACTAGAAACAAAATGGCATGTTCAATATCTAAATCAACGTGTTTGTTGCAGTTTGAAGAATGCCCTGATCAGATATGAAAGAACTCAAACTTGTATTGGCAGTGCCAAACAGCATGACATTTATTGTCTATTGCCCATATGGGAAGCCCAAACAAAAGTAAAGCAGCACACAATGGTAAAACTGTTTTGTATTTCAACCAATTCATGTGAATTTGTGTATTAAAAAAATTCAATAAAATAAAAAAAAATAAATCCTACCTACCGACCCAATTTTATATCAGTATGTAACAGTAACAAACATATTTTTTTTGTTTGGCCCAATATAAATATAGACAGCTAGTGAAATATAATTTTCTTTCCATTTACTGTTGAGATCAAAACGTATAGTACATGACAATCTTGACACAAATGTGTATTACTTCCTGTAATGAAACTACTCTTCATACTTTATTCTTTTTTTTTCACCTGATGTTTAATTTTTACATGCCAATATCATTCACGGGCAATATTGGAAAAGTGTCTTAATTTCTATTCCTGAATAAGAAGAAAATTAAGTTCTCAATTAGAAAAGTTCTTAAATAGAAATAAATTTCTAGCATTTTTTACAGGTACATTATTTTAGAGATTTTTTTTTTAAATGAGAAATTATAATTCATAGTGTATAAAGCAAATGGAGAAAAAATAGATAAACCTTAATGGGAACTTTTACACTACACATTGATACATATAATTATATCATACTTACCTCAAAGTTAGCACCACAGTGAGTACATATGTACTGCTTTATTCCTGCCAATACTCCATTCGAATTCTCTGAGCAAGGATTAATGGGAGAATGATCAAAATCTCTCATATGTTGCTCCTGTTTATTTTTGGAAGTGAACTTTACTTCACAATACAGAACAGGACAGATGATGATATGTTCTTCACATCCAGTCATCTTCATCTCCTCTAAGCTATCATCCAATGAAATAACTGCAGGAGAGGAGGTTGATACTGGTGTTCGTGCTTGTTGCCTGGGATTTTGCATTGAGTTTCCTGATGGGGTACTAGTCCTTTTTTTCTGTATGGCACTTGACTGCTGTCTTCTGGAACTGGAAGGTGAATTTCTATAGGGAGAAAATCTGGCATCAATTCTTTGTTTTTCTCTCTTGTCCTTTACTGCCCATTTCTTTTCTAAATCTCCTTTATTAATTAAGGGAAAATTAAGAAAATAAGAAGACATCACATACTGTATATTGACAACAAAACCTCTAAATTTGTGTAGCTTCAAATACTAGTATACAATTATGTAAATTTACAGTCAAGGTGAAATATTTGAATTTTTTTATTCAAAATATTTTTTCCACATTCAATTTACTTTTGGAGTAGGACAAAGCACTAATATTAATTTGTTACATTTAATACCTAAAATTTAGTAACTTTTATTCTGCTCAATGATATAAAAAATCCTCCAATTATTGAATGATACTAATTTTAAATTCAAATATAGCTTAAAATTAAATGATAACAATACACAAAAATGAATACTTGTATTTACACTACCTACTAAATGTATACATGCATTTGCCCAAGACAAGAAATACTAAACAACCATGTTTGATACATAGGCATATTGTAGTTCAGGTGACTGGAATTATAAATCTAGACTCATTAATATAGAACATCAAAAATCCACAAAATCATTTCTCAGAATTTTATGTATGTAAGAATATATTGAATCATGTATTTTTTTCCTCGTGACATGATCTGTAATCATGGTAACAAACAATGCAAAATTAATTTACTACAATGTACATTTTCTTTTTGTACATGAATAATTCAATTTTTAAAGTACACTTCACATCACTTGTAAGGAGTCTAGAGTACTGAAAATCACCAAATCTCTTGCAATAACTTATTTGTGCAAGATATTTATTTTGTATTTATGTAAAAAATAAATTTGGTAATTGTTATACATGTATATATAATCTTTAATTAAGTAGAGGTAATCTTTAATTAAATAAATATGAGAATAAACATTTCGTGAGCACTCTAATGGTCTTATGTAAATATGTGTTAATTTAAGTTCTAACCAAATAAAAAGTGATTTACGATACCGGGGTACTTAAAATTTCTTGCTTACCATGTTTTTTAGACCAGGTTCCCACCACAAAACTAGCATGCATCATCTCCTGGGAGTCCACCACATTTTGTTTCAAATACTGACTGTGAGCCAACTCCACTTCTCTTTGGCATTTCTTTTTCTCTATCTATGTATATATATTTTTGTTTTATTCACATTGCAATGGAAGAATTAAAAAATAAAATTACATCATGCACAAATGGCTCACAACTAATTCTAAAATTCTTTTTCTCAATTCACTAAATAGGAAAAAAAACTTGCAATAAATTAATCAAATTAGAATACATCATATACTTTCAAGAATGAACAAGAGGCCCATGAGCCTTGATAGTCACCTGAGTATCATAATTTCTCTCAGTCTATGACCAACTTGGTCCTACTCTGGACTGTAACTCTGACCTTATGTGACATAAATTTTATAACTGGAGAGGAGTCATGTTAATTATCCCTTAATATGCTTGAAGCTTGTCTCCTAGATTCACTGAGGTAATGAATATTTTTAAGCCTAAAAAATACAAAATATGTGCATTTCTGGTAACCCAACTGACCTAATTTTACCAACAGACCCTATTATCTTTTACTCCACATCCACATTTTTTAACCATATTTTGTTAACTAGTACAGTTTTCTCATAGTGAAGTCAATAAATGCATATCTCAGACAATGTAAAAACACATATATCCAAGCCTTTTAAAGAGTTCACTTGTTTTGTTGTGTATGTTTATTCACATATGTATATATGATAAAAAAAAATCTATTGAATAATTAAGTAATGCTTTCAAAATCAAAAAAGTAAAGCTAAAAAAGTTATCATCTACCTACATCCCCCTAATTTTTATGCCCCCGGATCGAAAGATCCCGGGGGTATATTGTTTTTGTCCTGTCTGTCTGTTTATCTGTCTGTCTGTTGTCAACTTTAACCTTGCCCATAACTTTTGATTGGTTGGAGCTATGACTTTCATATTTCACATGTGTATTCCTTGCGACATGACCTTTCTTTGGGTACCATCATATTTGACCTTTTGACCTTGGAGTTTGACCCACTTTTGTAAAATTTTATGAGACTTTAACCTTGGCCATAACTTCTGAACAGTTGGTGCTGGGTTTCAAACTTCACATGTGTATTCTTTGTGACAAGGCCTTCCTTTGGATATCAACAACTTTGACCTTTTGACCTTGGAGTTTGACCTACTTTTGAAAAACTTTAACCTTGGCCATAACTTTTGAATGGTTGATGCTAGGGCTTTCATACTTCACATATGTAATCCTTGTGACATCACCTTCCTTCGGATACCAACCTCTTTGACCCTTTGACCTTGACATAGGAGTTTGACCTACTTTTGAAAAACTTTAACCTTGGCCATAACTTTTGAATGGTTGATGCTAGGGCTTTCATACTTCACATATGTAATCCTTGTGACATCACCTTCCTTCAGATACCAACCTCTTGGACCCTTTGACCTTGACATAGGAGTTTGACCTACTTTTGAAAAACTTTAACCTTGGCCATAATTTTTGAATGGTTGGTGCTAGGGCTTTCATACTTCACATATGTGATCCTTGTGACATCACCTTCCTTCAGATACCAACCTCTTTGACCCTTTGACCTTGACATAGGAGTTTGACCTACTTTTGAAAAACTTTAACCTTGGCCATTATTTTTGAATGGTTGGTGCTAGGGCTTTCATACTTCACATATGTAATCCTTGTGACATCACCTTCCTTTGGATACCAATCACTTTGACCCTTTGACCTTGACATAGGAGTTTGACCTACTTTCGAAAAACTTTAACCTTGGCCATAATTTTTGAATGGTTGATGCTAGGGCTTTCATACTTTACATATGTAATCCTTGTGACAAGACCTTCCTTTGGATACCAACAACTTTGACCTTGACCTTGATGTTTTACTTACTTTTAAAAAAAATTCAACCTTCGCCATAACTTTTGAACAGTTGCAGCTAGGGCTTTCAAATTTAACATTTTTATCTTTTGGCCTGGATTTTGACTTGCATTTGAGAAACTTTAACCTTTGCCATAAGCTGCCATACGGGGGCATCAGTGTTTCACAAACACATCTTGTTCTGGCATGTTATTGGAAACACATTTTTTTAGCCTATTAAAACACATACAATAGAATAATAATAATAATAAGGTAAGTAAAAAAAAAGAAGTTGAAAATGTATAAAGCTGTAACATGAGAAAATGTATGGCTGGATCAGAAATCAAACCAAGGGCCTCTCTATCGTTAGGTGCTTTACTGACTGAGCTATCCAGGCTGTTATCCATGGTCCAAAACATTACATTTCTCCTTCCTTAAATTGACTTTGCCCTCCAAGTCACAATCAGAGTTATTACTGCCCCCTTGCAGAACTTTCACCTGCAAGTCTTGGGGTGAAAAACAGCATCAAATTATGTAACAGGAAAGGAGGAAATGTATGGCTTCACCAGGAATCAAACCTGAGACCCCTGCATTATTGTTAGTTGCTCTATCTACTGAGCTAGATGGTCAATGGCAATCAAACCCATCTGACTGCCACATTCCTCACTCCTTAAAGGATTCCGTCCCCCAAAGACACCAACACAGGCTCTTCCCTGGCAAGTCTTTCACCTGTCCCTTCTGGGGCATGGCATGGCACCAAATGCAACAGGAGAGAAGAAAATTGTGACGGACCAGACCAGGAATTGAACCCAGGACATCTGTATCACTGATCAGACGCTCTACCAACTGAGCTATCCAGGTCGATATCCACAGCCCAAAACATAACAGAGTGAAGAGACAGACAATTGAAAACAGATGATTAGAAAATCTCAGTTGAAACTTTGGTTCAGGTGAGCTAAAAATAAATTTTGCTATTCTCACTTTTTTTTGTCTCTCTAAATATTGCTGTTCGAATCTTGCAGTGACAGAATTCAGATAAGTTCTTGGTGGAGTTTCTGTTGATTCACACTGAAAATAAATAATTTCGCAGTCAGAAAATAATAAAAACACCTACGCATATAAGAAAAAAAAACAGTCCGTTGAAGAGGATACAAATATGATTTTAACTTTTGTACAATTACTTCAATACATGAACTGAAAAATAAAATGTTTCGTACCATCTCGACATTTGGCACCCTTTCCACATATCAGCCTCCCTGTAAGAAGAGTTCTAATGTTAAAGAATAAAAATAATTTAATGAAAAGGATGTTATAAAAGCGATGTTTGAAATATAAAAGTTTGAATAGATACAATTTACGTCCAAACTTAAAGTGAGAATAATTATATGTACTTTAAAATGTATGATTTTTTTTAAATTTTTTTTACATACATTCCGGAATGCTTAAAATGTATCAAACCAAACTCTTACATACCACCTAGTGTCTGAATCATCATAGTGTTTCTCTGTATGAGATTCAAACCAAAAAAAAGAAAGTCGTAAACAACATTGAACACATTTTAATCGAAACATGTGTCAATAAAGACGACACATGAAAAAGTGCTTAATTAGGTGTTTAAATTTCGTCAATAAGGTGCAGAACAAATATCCGAAATTCAACGCCCTTAAAAGTTCTTCCGAGTTAATACGATCTTCCAGAAATTATAGTGTAAGAATGAAACATCCGATAAATATTGTGAAATCAGAAAATGACAAGAGGAATTACAGGTAAAGAGAATTTAAAAAAATTGAAAAAGTCAGTCATTCATTTAGAGGAATATGATTTTTTTTTTTTTATGTGGAATTGCTCAATGTGAACATGACTTCATGTTGACTCCATTTTGTCCTGATGAATCACAGGGGCTTGCTCCCGGCGTGTAATAATTATTTATTAAAAAAATCATATACGGTAATACTAAACCAACACAAGGGAGGACGCCATTTTGGACCCCTTCCTCCCTTCAACCTCTGTTTTCGTTATATTTTCCCGTATTTTACTGACTCACCACCTCGGATCTGTCAAGTAATGGTTCTTCTAGGACATAATGCTTAAATTTTCCCCTTGGAGCCTCTACAATACACATTTCAGACTAATAATAATCCAAACTCGCTCTTTAGGACAGTTGATAGGCCTAGGGATGTTGTTTTAGTATTACCGTATATGATTTTTTTTAATAAATAATTATTACACGCCGGGAGCAAGCCCCTGTGGATGAATCCAGGCAAATACCTAACGCATGTTCTTCTTTAACAGGTTGGACAAAAGCCTACCAAACTGTGGTTTAACACCCGTTTGTTAGTCAAACACCCATATCTATGTTGGTATTAACTGACTATAAGTTGGTTGGTATTTACTGACTATAAGTTGGTTGTTTCTATTCACATCCACTCTATATGAAAACAATGCAAAGACACATTTGTACAGGTTTCAGGGAATTTTACTGAACATATACCTCATGCAATGAAGACATCTTATATTATTTGTTATGCAAATTACCATATTTTGCAATAAGGCATCTTAAGATGTGTCATAGAAAGTAATATGTTGACGGTGCGACCGTTAGGGCAAGTGCAGATACTTTCAGTTTTCGATCATTACTTGGATCAGGCTCATCAAACCGCACATGACATTTGCTACGTCTAGACTTGACATCATATGACGTCGTATGTATTTTGTATTAGCCTACCAAAATGAAGTGTGAACAGTGTTAATTTTAATCAAGAACATTTATTCTACTATTTGCCTGCTGTATATCCATTAAATCAAGGTGATTTCATATTTTGTTGAATTTTTTTGCTAACATGAGAACGTAGTTTGCGACGAGATGCAAAAAAGTTCATTTGGATCAATGTGCAAAGTCTGAATTTTCTCTTTGCCCAGGCATTGCTTTAAGAGCTTGAAGTGACAAGCAGTGTTTTGTGCCGCTGCGCTGCACTCGCTATAATAATATTTATCTTCCCAATCTCCAACAAATCTCCAACAAACACAGAGATCTCCCAAGTTGTGATGACAATCAAGTCACTACCTAAAGTCTAACCAGGCTACTTGTAGTATAAAATTTTATAACTACTAACACAGAGTGTGTATTTTTCAGGTGGATTAATCTTGAAAATGGTTTACAAGCTATCTTGATATCAGACTTATTGGAGGGAGAGGAGGAGGCAGAAGAGGCACCTTGGGATGATGAGGATGAGGAGCAAGATGGAAATGAGGAGGAGGAGGAGGAAGGTCATCATGAGGAAGAAATGGAGATGGAGGATGAAGATGAATGTGGAAAAGAGGAAGGAGGAGAAAAGAAGGTTTATGTCTCAGATTGTCTTCAACATAAAAAAAAATATTTAGATGTTTTAAATGCAATACAGAGCTTATTTGTAAAACTGTTTTGCTTATTTTAGATAGCTTGATGTTGTTAACCTTAAAAAAAAATCACCTTCTTTTGGTTTCTTTGAATTTTGGTATTTTAGGATGAATGAAAAAGTTTTGAAAATCAATAAAATTTTACTGTCTAGATCAGTTTATTATGTTTCTTTTAGTCAGCAGCAGCACTGTGTATTTCCAATGGAAGCTTTTCAGATCCATCCAATATCCCAGGATTAGCTCATTTTTTGGAACATAGTAAGTCAAATGTGTGTCTCTTAATTTATACAGAATGGAATTGCATGTGCAGTTTCATGACCAGTATGAATTGAAATATCTTTGTAAATATTGAATTTCTAACGTAATGACTATTTTACAGATTTTTGAGTCACTTAGGTGACCTATTCATATTATTTTTGACCTTCTGGTGAGTCTTTGGATCTGTTGGCCATAAACTTAAGATTATTTTCAGCTTCTTCTCTGGAATGATTGAACCAATGATACAATCAATTTTAGCATACTAGGGTATGCATGTATCATCAGACTCTATGGGTAATTGGGAACTAAAATTGTAAATTTCATGATCTTTGTCTCAATTAGGCCTTGGGGTTGGGGCAAAAACCAACAAAATTAATGTAATCTTCAAGATCTTCTTTACTCCTGGCTATCTTGCAGGCAAATTGTTGGCTTCATTATAATAAACAATGAGCTAAATGAATAAACAAATAAATGAACAAAATGAGCTCTTCAATCAAAATTGTGAAATTCATGATCCCTGAATTCAGGCTTCAGGAGAGGCTAAGTTGGTCTCAAATTGAAAATTCATTATGTCTTAAAAATTTTCTTATTTACTCATGGATCTCTAGCAGGCACATTGTTTGCAAGATAATAATGAGTACTAAAACCCTTACCAAAATTGTGAAACTCATGACCCCTGGGTTCATGATTAGGCCACTTGTATAAATAAGATACAGGTATACATGTACATGCACAGAGATTTTTATTATAATATATTACATGGTATTTTTTTTTCAGTGGTTTTCATGGGAAGCAAAAAATATCCACAAGAAAATAAATTGGATGATTTCCTAGGAAAACATGGAGGCTTCACCAATGCATGGACTGATTGTGAAAGGGTAACAAAGAATTCATTATAGGTTTGCCAGTCAATAACTATATGATATTATAGAACATTATATATACATTTCCAAATATTTTTCCTTAAGATTCTTTGCAAATTAGAAAAAGTTCATGTCCTCATGAACTACCATAATTGAGCAAGAATATCTCTATTGTGACATCTTAAAAACATACTTGATGTCAAAACTATAGTGCATACCGCTTTGTTTAAAAAATGATCGTTGGATGACATAAATTTGTGGTAAGTCGTCAGAAAAATAATGTTAATATAAAGATATGAATTTAATTTTTTAGTATTCATGAGGTACATGAACTACAAAGCTTCACACCTGCATATTTATCATGAAGCGCTAACACGCTTCATGATAAATATGCAGGTGTGAAGCGTCATAGTTCATGTCCTCATGAATTCTCAAAAATTTAATTAATTTCTTAAATGAACACAATATTATAATTTTTTCAGACTTCCTTTCATTTTGATGTTGAACAAAAGTACTTCCATCAGGCTTTAGACATCTTTGCCCAGTTCTTCACTACTCCATTACTGAGACAGGATTCTGTAGACAGAGAGATTCAGGCAGTGGACAGTGGTGAGTTGTCTATTCAGGTAGTGGGAAGTGGTGAGTTGTCTTTTCAGGCAGTGGGCAGTGGTGAGTTGTCTATTTAGGCAGTGGACAGTGGTGAGTTGTCTATTTAGGCACTGAACAGTGTTGAGTTATCTCCCGTATGACGGGTATTTTCTGCGGTTCGAATTTTTTGCGATTTAACCCCTTAAAGGTACCAAATTAATTTCTGCGTTTTCAATTTCTGCGGTTGCACTATACCACAAAAATTAATTTAAGGGGTATGATCATGCACTAAAATTTATGAATTATCAGAACGCTGTCATGTTTTTGTTTTATAAATTCATTAAGACATATTGGTCAAAGGTGCATTAAAACTGGTATTAAGCTATAATGCTTAATTAAACTACTATCTTTTAGTTAGTTTTTGTAAAAATATTTCGAGTACCAATTGAAATGAATTAATGCAGTGTCAGCCCACCCAAACAACAATACAAATCTTTATTCTAACAGACATTTTATGCGATCTATCAGGGACCTATATACTAATATCTATTAAAATACTAGCATTTAAATATATGTAGATAATGATAATAAACAGTGATAAAGGCATCAAAGCCATATTCTAAAATACATTTCTAGTTAACTGCCATCAAAATTAATTTGGTGTTTATATTTTAAGCTAAAACAAACAGTTTGCATAATTAAGTACTCCAAAGTTGACGGTTAACAATCACACGTGTCATGTGCATTGAGGCGTAACTAATCCTGTCAGTCTTATGCATTAGGTGAAATTCACGAAACAATAGAGCCACATTGTGTATACAAGCAGTAATTATTGTCTCAATATTGAAAGATTGGAAAAAGTGTTTAAAAAAGAAAAACTACCATGTGTTGTTTGCAGCTATTGGAGTTTGGACCGATAATTGCGAAATAGGTACAAGTAAAGATGTTTTTGTATCAACTTATTTAATTGATATTATTTACAGGAAGGTTTTGATTCAATATGTTTTGGACAAATCCTGACATCTAAAATCTTCGAATTCCGATGACACCCGAATTTTCTCGCAAACGAGGATGTGGCCACACATGAGTCTGCGGACGCATCGATTTTTAAAAACCTTGCGTTCCAAATAATTTTGCTGTGTCCAGTACAAAGTTTCTTGCGTTAATGAGAACCCTGTCAGACATACGCACCACTTATCATAATTGCATATACAAAATATCTGAATGAATATTGAAAAAATATTTTGCGATTGTAATTTTTGCGGATTTGTCCTATCCGCAAAATTCCGCAAAAATTGGACAATGGCAGAAAATACCCGTTATACGGTATTTAGGCAGTGGTGCATTATCTATTTAGGCAGTGGTGAGTTGTCTATTCAGGCAGTGGAGATTGTGTTGAGTTGTCTATTTAGGCAGTGGACAGTGGTGAATTATCTATTAAGGCAGTGGTGAGTTATCTATTCAGGCAGTGGACTTTGGTTAGTTGTCTATTTAGGCAGTGGACAGTGGTGTGTTATCAATTTAGGCAGTGGACAGTGGTGAGTTGTCTATTCAGGCAGTTGACAGTGGTGAGTTATCTATTTAGGCAGTTGACAGTGGTGAGTTATCTATTCAGGCAATTGACAGTGGTGAGTTATCTATTCAGACAGTGGACAGTGGTGTGTTATTTATTCAGACAGTGGACAGTGGTGAGTTATCTATTTAGGCAGTGGACAGTAGTGAGTTATCTATTCAGACAGTGGACACTGGTGAGTTATTTATTCAGACAGTGGACAGTGGTGAGTTATCTATTTAGGCAGTGGACACTGGTGAGTTATCTATTCAGACAGTGGACAGTGGTGAGTTATCTATTCAGGCAATATAGTTGTATGTAGGGAATGATCATAGTGGATCTGGAAAATGTAGGTGGATGTAGGGAATGATTATAGAGGATGGGGAAATGTTCTCGGATGTGTGGAATGATCATTTAGGATGGGGAAATGTTTGTGGATGTGTGGAATGATTATAGAGGACTGGAGAAATGTAGGTGGATGTAGGGGATGATTAGACAGATTGAGGATTTGTCTCTAGTGACTATGTCCATATCAATTTTGTGGTTGTTGTAAATATGCTTAGTTATTTCTCTCAATTTATTTTCTTTCATTTCACAATCTGTACCAAAAAAGCAATTTATTAGTGACAAGGAGCATTTAATTCCCATGCTTAATACAATAAGTAGGGAATTTAACAATGTTATGCCCTGTACAATAGGCCTACAATATTTTCTTTTCAATAGAATATCAGATGAGCCTTCCTAGTGATGATGAAAGAATGTGTATGCTGTATGGATCTCTGGCAAAGGAGGGGCACCCCATGGGGAAATTTTTCACTGGTAATTCTCCCCTACTTTTTTTTTAAACAAAAATTAAAAGTGACAAATATTATTAAGATTGCAGATACAATCACAATCCATTGAATGTTTGTGCATTTACAGGAAGCATAGATTCTTTGAAGACAATTCCCCAGCAAAATGGTATAGATGTGTATGGAAACTTAAAGAAATTCTGCCAACAGATGTATTCAGCTCAGTTTATGACCCTAGCTGTTCAGTCAAAAGGTTTGGTGCTTACTTTCAAAACTGCTTAAATAGAGATAATCAATTTCTGTGGACATTGTATAAAGATATTCATAGCTATATGTTTACTAAATAATTTATTCTTGTTCACGTTGGGAAAGTCCTACAAGTAAACAATTATAGAAACTGTATAGGGTGTAGATTTGTAAATGTTATGATTGCAATTCATATTGTAAAAGCATTTGGTGTTGCATATGATTATTTTACTTCAAGTAAAATATACCCTTGTTTTGAATTTGCAACGTACTATTTTGCAAACCACAAACGTCGTAAATTTATGATAGCTAGCAAGTAATAATTCCTTTACACAGCATGTACGTGTACAATATGGTTTATATTTTGTTAATGTCATGCAATAAAGTGAACAATGCATAAATTTTATTGTGGCATTATACAATATAATTTATGATTTGTTAAGTTCATGGCTGAAAAAGTCATTTTCTCTATCTTGATTGTTCTTCCATTGAACAGTTAGCCTTGACAAGCTGGAGAAATGGGTCAGAGAGATATTTTCTGAAGTTCCAAACAAGTAAGAGTACATTAGAGATTTAATACAGATAAATTAGGTCAAAATCAGTATTCTGGAATACACAGGTCCAATCCTAAGACTATTTCTACCTATGTAGCTAGAAATGGCTACATAGATATTTAAACCTACTCCAGGTAGCTATTTTTAACTACTTTTTGCTCCTTTCATTTCATGGTCATATGCAGGGATGGCGCAATATGGTGAATATCAAATTTCTTGATACAGTCACACTGACGATGAATATGACACAAATTTTGACCAAAATTGATAACTTTCTAACTTATTAATTTTGTATAAAAAATACATCCCATTTCATTTTTTAGAAGCTAAGGATCAAATCTAAGTCTAATATGTCTTAAAAATCTGTATCAATTTTAAAAATTTCTTTCATGCATTTTTAGATAAAAGTTTTTTTGGATGATTTTTCATGCATTTCCTCTCCATTCTCCACCCTCGTAAAGTTTTCAAATTAACACCTCAAATGTTTTGCGGTGTAAGTGCACCGGATGATAAAAAAACAATGTCATGTTTTAAAGATGTAATTTTTAGCTCAACTCAACGAAGTTGGGGGAGCTTATGTAATACCCTCGGCGTCGGCGTCCCAGGTTAAGGTTTTTGGAGCAGTTTTCTTTTCAAGTACTTCTATGGCCTATATTAGTCAGAGATGCATGGAGGATGCTTCTAGTGTGTTTCATTGTACCAGTCAAGGTTTCAGATGCTGCAATTTCAGCTAAAGAATGACCAGGTTAATGTTTTTGGAGCAGGTTAAAGTTTTTGGAGCAGGTTAAAGTTTTTGGAGCAGGTCTCATTTCCAAGTAACTATAAGCCCTATATTGACCAAACTTGCATGGATGATACATCTAAGGATGCACACTACTGAACATGCTTCGGATGCTGGATCTGACCTACATTTTCCGGATGAGTGACCAGGTTAAAGTTTTTGGAGCAGATCTCATTTCCAAGTAACTATAAGCCCTATATTGACCAAACTTGCATGGATGATACATCTAAGGATGCACACTACTGGACTTGCTTTGGATGCTGGATCTGACCTACATTTTCCGGATGAGTGACCAGGTTAAGGTTTTTGGAGCAGATCTCATTTCAAAGTAACTATAAGCCCTATATTGACCAAACTTGCATGGATGATACATCTAAGGATGCACACTACTGAACTTGCTTCGGATGCTGGATCTGACCTATATTTTTCGGATGAGTGACCAGGGTAAGGTTTTTGGAGCAGATCTCATTTCAAAGTAACTAAAAGCCCTATATTGACCAAACTTGCATGGATGATACATCTAAGGATGCACACTACTGGACTTGCTTCGGATGCTGGATCTGAACTATATTTTCTGGAAGAGTGACCAGGTTAAAGTTTTTGGAGCAGATCTCATTTCCAAGTAACTATAAGCCCTATATTGACCAAACTTGCATGGATAATACATCTAAGGATGCACACTACTGAACTTGCTTCGGATGCTGGATCTGACCTATATTTTCCGGATGAGTGACCAGGTTAAAGTTTTTGGAGCAGATCTCATTTCCAAGTAACTATAATATAAACCCTATATTGACCAAACTTGCATGGATGATACATCTAAGGATTCACACTACTGGACTTGCTTCGGATGCTGGATCTGACCTACATTTTCCGGATGAATAACCAGATTAAAATTTTTGGAGCAGATCTCATTTCCAAGTAACTATAAGGCCTATCTGATCAAAACTTGCATGGATGATGCATCAAGGGACGAACAATCTCAAAACTTGCTTCGGATGCTGGATTTGACTTACATTTTCTGGATGAGTGACTAGTTTTTTAGTTTTCAGATAAGTCTATTACCAAGTAACTGCAAGCCCTATCAGACCAAAATTGCATAAATGTTGCATCTAGGGATGCACACTCCTAGATTATTAGTTTAGTGTGGGACTTTGCCTTACTTAAAGGCAACATTCGTTGAGGTGAGCTCTGTAATCTCTGATTACCTATGTTTATATAATTCTATTTTCAGAGACAGGTAAAAGTAGGTAGAAATACTACTCCAAGTAGTTTTAAATACCTAAGTAGCTATTAATAGCTACGTAGTTAGAAATAGTCTTTGGACTGAACTTGATACATGTTCATGTACTACATGTAATACCATGATGGATATACTCAGCATAGGAAATGGAGATTGATACATGAAAAAGATGCAAGTCAAAATTACCTAGTTAGGGTTCACAGTTCCTTTTCGAAGTCTTTACATAGTAAAATCATTACATCAAGCAGTTTTTGAAGGACATTGAGAACATTATTAAAGAAAAGAAACATGCTGACAATCTTTTATGAATACCTTAGCATTTTAAGTTCTTTTATTAATGAAAAAATGATTGTTTTGGCAGATTTTTTCCTTTCATTACAGTTATTCTATTTCTGTTAATCCATCATGAAAATACATATACATGTATAGTGTACCTTAAAATGTGGAATTTGAGTACCGACCATGGCTACAGGGTTGACAATATTATGTTATATGTTAGACTGGAATTTGTCCTTGAAGTACAAAAAGATTCATGCAGAAGAAGTTTTGAATGGAATTTACATATGTAACCTCAAACAAAAACATTTATCACAATGTCTTATGTCTGTAGTTTTTGTTTGTTGCTCCCCCCACCAGCTTCTCTGAATTTGCCTGGGTTTTTTTTAGGGGGGGAGGGGGGTTGTTTTTGTGATTTTGTGGAGGGGTGATAAATTTTTGGTCATCTTTTCAGGGTTTTTGATTGTTTTTATTTGTTTTGATATTTTAGTTTTTTTTTATAGGTTTAAGACAATAAATTCAAACACTTAACAGGCTTAATGCTCTTTTGGGAGGGATATTTATTCTGATCTACATGTATGTTTGCTGTAATGCAGGACTAGAACTAAATAGGTCTTAATGCTTGAATTTTATCCAATTTTTATAATCATTTAATTTTTCTTTAAGCAAACAACCAAGAGAGATATTTGACCGCCTTCAGGTAGGTTTTGAACAAATTTCCTTTTGAAACACAGGTTATATTTTATAAAATGTAATATCAGATAACTTATGGATTTGTGTAGAGTACGGTAATTCGATCATTTTTCTTGTGAAAATATGCCCTTGCTTTCTTTGATATTCATAGACGAGGGCTTGTGATGTTCTCTGTATTGATTGCAATAGTGAACATCCCCAACTTGCAAATAAAGGTATTCAAGTGAAAATTTTGAATGAAGCATGAAATGATGTGTATTTTCTGTTTTATTTGTTTTTTCTTATTATAATTTTCTTGTAAGTTCCCAACTTTTTCCCCACCACTTATGATTAATTAACTACTTATCTCTATTAAAGAAACAGATTAGAATGCATTAATCTAAATCTTTTTTTCTTGAAATTTCAGAACCCATTTGAGATGGAAAAATTTAGAAAACTATATTACAGTAAGTTATTTTACTTTTTAAAGTATATTATATTAACAAAATTCGGTGATTTAGAAAAATAAATCTCCAGAAGTCAGCAAAATTTTGTATTTCATACATATATTATTGCAATATTAAACTTTGATTATTTTAAGTTTTCCATGACTTTTTATAAATGTTAACTTTTTTTACTGATTGTATTAAATCCTTGCTGTGGCCTCCAATTCAAGATTTAGATATATCAACTATGTTTTTATCAAATAACAATATTCACTTTCATTCATACATTGATTCAATGTATCCCACTGAACTCAAAATAAAAGGCACCACAGAATCTGACACATTTGTTTCATATTTGGATGTTTTACTAGTAAGATATATTGATGGCAAACTAACAATAAAACTTTATGATATACTTGTTGCCTTCAACTTTTATTTCATTAATATTCCTTCTTTATGTAGAATGTACCATTATCAGTTGCATCTTTACGTGTAGATTTAAAATCCAAAAGCATGCTCTACAAAGGAGAAATTTTGAAATGAGACAGGCTTCTAACAAATAAGTTGATGATACAAAGGTATCAGCAACCTAATTTAAAGTTAACATTTTGCAAATGCTGTGGTTGATACAATAACCTTGTTTGCAATTACAATCTTTGGTTAGGTTGAATGTTGACTGACATTTCTCATACAAATTGTTAGCCTGTCATCATTTTCATTCCAAATTGTCTACAGATTTTTCTGTTTACCTGATCATGACAAGGAGTTTACAAGGGGTGTGACCATTTGACAGGGAAATGCTTACTCCTCCATGGCACAAGATCCAATATCTAATGTTTTCAGGGGTCCTGTTGTCTTCATATTTCATCCTATGAGTATCTGTAGTTTCACATAAATCCTGTTTCAGTTGATCCTGTTAAGGACAAACACATGCTGGAGATTATCTGGTCATTTCCTCCAATGCTGTCACAGTACAAGTAAGAAATAGTTACTCAGCAACCTGTTTTGTAATTTTATCATAAACACACATAACTTGCATGTATGTTAAAAAATTATACCTTGCAAACATTACTATATGATATTTTTTTCTTTTATGCAGGAAAAAGCCATTGTTGTACCTGGACTTTTTCTTGGGTCATGAGGGGGAAGGTAGTTTACTAGCTCACTTGAAGAGCAGGTAGGTATTGTTGCTACAGGTACTAAAAAAAACTTTTCTTTTGATGTGTTGCATTCACAAAGATGAATTCCATCTGAAATACTTAAATTGCCACATGTAATATGCAAGTAAAACTCAGTAGCCTAAAAATGCATCGTGCATTTCCATGTTAGAATTATTAAGAATTATTTGTTATTTGGAGAGGCTTTCTTTCTCTCATTGATACCTCCTTCATCCATCTTGGAATCTGTGAAATTAAATTCTTTATCCATCCGTCAGATTAGTTAGCTATGACTGAGCCTCATTTTTATGTTGCCTTTGTATTATCTTTCAACAATATGGCATTAGTGTTAACTCATATTTAGCTCAACTGGACAAAAAGTTCAAGCAGGCTTTACTGAACACCTAATGTCTGTCCATATGTCTGTCTGTCCTTCTGTTCACATTTTTGACTTTAGACTACATAAATTCTATCAAACTTGCCACAAAGTATTCAAAGTTGAAGGAAATACAAGTGGTTCAAATCATCTTAAAAGGGGAAATAATAAAGAAAAGAAAAAAGTAGATTTCTTAAAAAATCTTCTCAAAAATTGCTGGATGATACATCTAGGAATGCACACTACCATTCAAGATATATTGAAGCAGTCTTTTCTAATATCACTTCCACTAGTGAATAAAACTGGGCTTGGGAACGAATGTACTCCTTAAATAATATTGTGTACTAAGAAAGGCACAAGCAAAGATTTAATGCTTTAGGTCTAGGTACCACAGACCTTTAAAATTAAATTTTTAATGTTCCCCCAGGGGTAGGAAACCCTTTTCCTTCCAAAACACCTCAGTCATGCATGAATCAGTATTTCATAACACTCTCCTAATGGTTTCTGTTTTCCTCCAATCAATCACCATCTGTATAACATTTTTTTCTAACATCCAAAGGAAACCATGTTCTATTTGTAAAAACAAACCAAGTAAACACTTACCAAGTCATTGTTTAAATACCAACAGCCCTAATTCACACTTGTGTGCACCAAAAATACTGCTCTACTATGCTAAATTTTGCAATTAAAAACTTTTTAAAGAACAGTTGGACTTCTGGGGGCTGCAAGAGCTGGACCCGCTGAGCCTAAAGGCAGAATTTTATCCTCACCCTACCCCCTGACTGAAATCTTTATCTGCCCCTGATCTTCTTCATTATCTTTTTGCATGTTTTGTTATCTAAGGTGTTTGGTTTTTAAGATGTAATCGTAATTATAGGCCCATCTTAAGATGGGACTTATTATGGTATGGCAATCATGTCCGAATGCTGTCAGTCTTTGAGCTTTTTCATGTCTGGCACATAACTATAATTCTACGAGATCTAGAATACCAGTAATCAAATTTTGTCAGCTGATACATGTACATCTTGGGTATAAGGTGTGTTGCACATTAAAAGTAGGTTGCTGTGACCAAGTATGGCGAAATCCTGTCCAGCTCTGAACTGGAAAACTATTGGACCTAGAATCATCAAACTTGGTCAATTAATGCATCTTAGATAGAGGGTGTGTCACATCATATTTAAAGGTCACTGTGACCTTTAATTAAGGTGAATTTTTTTAAAATATGTTTTTAAGTTACACAATCCTAACAGGTGTAAAAGTATTGCAGTTACCTTATTAAAATTGTTAAATCTAGAAAATACACCTTTTTTCATGGTAAAGTATACAGCAATATAAAACAAATATAAAGAGAAATTCCACTTGTCCCATAGGTATAATAATCAAGCAATGGTGTTTCAAGAAGCATTGATAAAAGCATATGTCCAATTAGAAATTAATTGATGAGTTTAGTGTAAGAAGATTTCTGGTAGAGCATATCTGATCAAGCAGGTGGTATCTCTATATTTTGGGGACTGGGCAGAGGAAGATGGCCTCTTAAATAATAGTATCTGTCAAATTAGTGTAGTTCTTGTTCATTAGCCAGCCATTACTTTCTATATTAATTTGGTATATAAGTTATTAGATTAATATGATATTGTGTAATAAAATACTCTAATTTCCATATCTCAACAATGAATTGCAGAATGTCATGTCTCACTAAGATGACAGTTTTACAGTCTAAAAATAAAAAAATAATGATTAGTGTTTTGATGTTTTAATAGGGTGTAGCATTGTTCATTTTTCATAAAAAATACAATTAACAAACCTGCAAATGGGCATTTGTAAAACTCTAATACAACCACTTGAGAAATATATGATGTATTATTTGTTCTCATTAATTACTACAACATAGGAGAGGCACTTTCAAACATTAGGATGAAAGAATCATTGGAATCTATGTATCAAGGTTGACATGATTTTCTTTCTTGCACTCTAATCTGTTTATGATGATTGAACAATATTTGACTGACGTATCATGTGCCCTGGTGGTGCACTTTTTTTTCTATTTGCATAATGGTTCCTGGCATTTATGCATAAATTACCTGAAAACATACTGGTTGTGTACAACATCAAAAAAAAAAAACAAAAAAAACCCACAGACAGTTATTCCCTTTATATACATTATTTTATATTCTCTAAATATGCTTAATTCTGCAGAATTTCTTTGTTTTGAAATCCTAAGCAATAACATGTTTTGATAAAATTATTCACTCAGCATAATTCATAATTCGTGCATTTCAGTTCTATATATACAATATTTCTCATAATTACAAGATAATTTTCTTGGAATTTCAGATAATATTTTTGGAATAATGAGATCTTTTGATTCTTTTCTTGTATTTACCAGTTAATCACCTCATATTTATGAGAAAAGATCTGGAAATTATGAGATAGTAGGGCATATTTTTTTTTTACTTGATACTAATAGGCTTTTCTCATAGTTTTGTTTGCAGTCATTAAAATATTAAAATTCCTATCCCACTTGTGAAATAAAACATTAAATATCCTCAATTATACAGAGAATAAAGGAAAGATACACTAACTTCAAGTGAAAAATAGCACACTATTCTGTGTTCATTGATTGGAGATATTTAATTACTATAACAGTATTGTTACGACTTTGTCCCACATAGAGATTGTTCTCATCATCAACACATACACTAATTGGATTAGATACTTGTGGTGATGTAAGTAGTAAAGATAAGAACTGACCATCCTGATCAAGGAGGTGAACATTGTCACTATCACACACCAGTATGTGACCAAGGACATCAGTACAGATTCCATAGGGACGGAACACTGACCCCTGACCTTTGTAGGAGAATCTGTGTTGTCCTGATTTATTCACCACCACTACTGCCTTATCATACTCTGATGTACAGATATCTCCATTGATGTTTTCTGTTATGTAGATTGGTTTACTATACAGCCCCTGTCCTTTGTTATCCCTCTGTATGTTCTGTAGTTCTTTCCCTGTCTTGTTGTACCTGGTGACTTTACCCTCTTCACTATTTACCATCCCCACCAGTAAGTCCCCATTGATGTGGGAGGAGTGTATGCTGATTGGCGCCCAGTCTCCTGTTTTAATGAATTCAGTGATGTTGTTATCCTGTGTTATCCTGTTGATGACTTTCTTCTTATAGTCTATAAAGATCAGATCCCCATCCTGTGTCATTGTGTGGTAACCAAATCCATCACTAGTTTTTATCTTCTGTAGCTGATTCCCCTGTAGATCAGTTTGGACAAGGTTACCTTCAATATGACTGACCCAGAGTCTGCCTGACTTATCTAGTGACATATGCCACACAGTTTCAACACCTGGTACTTTTAACTCTCTGACCTTAGTGACAGAGGAAGATAGTGAGAGTATTTGTTTCACACTAGATGTTGGTTGGCTCTCTTTCATTATTTGATATCTTGTTGGTTTCAGATATGATGCAGGAATTTTTGATTTTAGGGGCTGTACTTTTCTCATCTCTTCTTTTGTGTTTGGAAAAGTTATTTTCCCCATGAATTTGGCTACATAATCTTTGCTGTACCTCCCAGCAGTAAATACAGGCATCAGTGGTTTTGTTGTTTCTGGTATGGGCTGGATTTGCATCTCCTCTGCAGTTAAAAGTTTTGTAGGTTTTAAAGAAGACAAATAAACATGGAACTTTTTGTCCAGGTCATTAAGGTAGGTAATGTATTTTTCAATTGTTGTATCTTGGTTATTTAATTTTTCCAATAATGACTCCTCTATTTTGTTCACTTCTTCCATATTTTCAGAAGTCACTGAGTCCACCATACATTTTAGGGATTCAGCTTCAGCCTTCATGGAGGTTCTAATGTTGTCCATGATCTTCTTGATTTCTTTGGTATCTCCATTAATTTCTCTCTGTAAATCTTTAGATGTTGGCAAGAAATACTCATGAATTTTTGCAATTTCTCCTTGACAATGGGAAAATTTCTCTGTATAAATTGATTCCAGATCAGTGAATGTATGACCCCTATGTTCTGATGTGGCAGTGCATTTGGAACAAAGTGGGATTTGACATTCTTCACAAAGAAGATCTATATCCTTAGTGGGGTGGATCTTGCATTTTTCTGTGGGCAGTTGTTGTTTCCGTTGTTGGTATAGGACTACCTCATGGCTTTTTGTTTCTGGACTTCTCAGATGTTCATCCCTGCATTGTTTACATAATCTTGTGTGGCAGAGGTTGCAGTAAAATTCACAGTTTCCCTCGCAGTCTTCAATACCACACTCTAAAAAGTGTTGAGGTGTACCTGGTAATTCTGCTTTTGACAGAGCCATCTGCAAAGAGTGCCTTTAAGTATTATCTATTTGGCAAATTTATGTAAATGCTGCTGTAAAGGAAAGATGTATTAAAATGTATGTCCCTTACTGATTTTTAATCAAAAATGTATCTTCAAGTAAGTTGTGACCATGCAGAAAAAAATGCTCAATATTCACAAGGATAGGAAGATTTTCAAAGATTTTTTTTTTATCCTACAAAGCTTACAGAGTCTTTAAAAATATTTTTTTCTTGTTTCAGAAACATACATGTATATATCAATATTAAAATAAATAAACTTAGTCAAACCCTATATATAACAAATAAGGACTCCCAATTTATTGTTTATGTACAAGTTTTTGTATCTCTGTGATATAAGTTGATCTAGCATACAATCTTATAACTTACATGTACCGGTACTGTTCAACTCCAAGGTGACTTTTTATTGATCAGCCATTTTGAATGACTTTACACTTTAATGGAGGCTGTAATTTACTTCCTCATTGTTAGTAAATATAGATTTAAATGTCTGTGTTGCACACATATATTTTATCTCGGACACAGTAAAATTTACCTGATACCTTAAAGTTCATAATTATGATTCTGGAACAAGAGGCTAGTTACAATGAATAAATAAGGAGTATCTGTATTAATTCTTTTTCTAATCATTTGATTTTATCTACTCATAAGATAGTGTGAACTTCTGTTGGTGATAAATTCAGTCTTCTGAGGCATTTTATACTTGGACATTTAACCCAAGGATTTCAGGGATGTTTCCTCCTCTCTCCTCCCCCACCCCCTTTTGCCTTTCTGCAAACTAAATTGACAAGATAGTTCATATATCCCAGTAAGTAAAATTTGGCAAACTTTTAGAGAAAGAGAGATTTTTGTTTCATCTTACTATAAAGCTTTTTTTTTTTTAAATAATTCATTTCCTTCAGGATGAGTGATTCATATTAGTCATTTTGTAGATATTTTGCCACAGCAGTGGAGAGTGGCCACAGCTACAATGGATTTGAACTGAACACCACTGCCACTCAGTTTGTGGTGAACTTGACCCTTACTGACAGGGGACTTGAACAGTTTGAGGAAGTTCTGCTGGCAGTTTTCCAGTACATACACTTACTAAAGAGCAAAGGACCACAGGAGCAGTACTTTGATGAGATGAAGATAGTGGAGGAAACCAAATTTAGATTTAAAGAAAAGGTAGAAGTACAGACAATTTAGTGAAAATATGGGCCCAGCATCAAACTTATTCCAACAGGAAAGAATCTAAGATAATCTTATGAGCAAAAAGCATAATTTTGCCATGTATTAATTAGCTATGGGAATTACTAATAGAAAAACTCTGAATATCCATCCAATGTTTTGCTGAAATAAAAGAAAATTTCTGTTTTTCATGAATGTGTAATCTTTTTGATAACTTTACTAGATCATTATTTCATGCAGATAATATATATTAATCTGAAATTGATATTTTGAATTCTTGATAAATTGGCTGGACTATGGGTGTTTTTAAAAATCAGTCATTTTATTATTATTTATATGTATTTAATTAAAAATTCAAGTGATTAAAAATACGGTAAAACATTCTTATTGCCAAAATGCTTATAATGAATTAATAAATTGATGCTTTTAGCAAAGTGATTTTCATTCCCTGTGGCTTTAAAATATGTTGTAAACTCAATGGATATAACATACAAAGCAAAATCATCCATCCCTGGCAATTCATTATAAGCATGTTTTACTGTATCAGCTAGGACAGGATGCACAATGATAATAAATTGCAAGTGGATAAGTAAATAGTACCTCTTTTTCATAAGAAAAAAGTTGAGATAAGATTGTACCTGTAATTTAATTTGTTGGATGAGAGCATTGTTTATGGTTTAGGGAGATGCAATGGATTATGTGGAGAAAGTCTCAGAAAACATGCAGATATTTTCCCCAGAGGATGTTTTAACTGGCAGAGATTTAATGTATGAATATGACCCAGAGGTAGGTCTAGTAAATATATAAGTAATTTCTTAATGAAATTTAGAATATTTAGAGTTTTTGAGTTTTTTATTATTATTTTTTCAGCTGATTGTTAAGTGCCTGGCAGATCTAAGGGCAGACAACTGTTGTATTTTCCTGTCTTCCAAACAACTGTCAGATAAATGTGATAGACAGGATATCAAATGGAGTCCTGTGAAGTATGGAGTGGCAGAAATCAAACCTGAGTGGATTCAAAAATGGCAAGGTAGAAACTCAATACAACAATGCACTATATACTACTATTATACAAACCAGATGTCATAAGGCAGTGAATTAATAACCAAGGTTTTATTAATTTTCATAAGGATCAAATTTCCTGTTTTTGGTAAAAAATGTGATAATTATTTTCTCTATTTGTTTATTTGTGGACTGCTACCTCATCCTATTCAGTTCATCATATTAAGTAAAAAATTTGTAATTTGTAGTCATGAACTTTAGTTTACCTTAATCAAGGCTGACAAACCAACCTAGTCAATGGTTGTATGTATTTTCTTTCAGATCCACCTACAAATCCTGACATTTGCTTACCACAACCAAACAAATCAATAGGTATGTGTGTAGTGTTCAGATTATACTGTAAATTATGTTATTCTTGGCATGTACAATCCATAATGTACCCTAGACGTGTATTATTAGTCACATAGTTTTGTAGTGAAAGGGTACAAAATGATACCTGGCTAGTAAATTTTATATCTGATGAAGCGAAAATGAGCTAAGTATGAAATTTACTAACCAGGTATCATCCCTTACTAGGGATGGCAATTTGTAATCAGTTAATCGGAACGATGGTAATAGGTTAGTCGGAAAAAAATAATATATATGTAAATTTGAATACAATTTCCTGAAAATTCAATTTAAAAAATACAAATAAAATTTTCTGAAATGTTAGCATGTTCACCTATCTATTTAAGCTGATTCAGAGATAATTAAGGCTCTCCAGATTGACATCGCGTGGGTATAATTGGTCACTTTTCGAGTCGTTAATTGCTGTCTAAACACTTCGTTACCCACCCTGTCCTGTGTTTCTTTAATGATTTTAATTAAATGATCATTGACTTCTGTGAACTGATTATAATGTGTACCTTATCCCCTCTATCCTTTGCAGTTACCTCTCAAATTATATTCTAAAACAAACATCATAAGATAAGCGATAATTCAGACTTAATTCTGATTATGGTGACAATGCAGACTGAACTTCCGAGTCATCTTTTCTGAAATTTTTTTAATGCATCTGCAACCTCAGGATGTTCCATGAGTTTCTTAATTTTTTCTTTCCTTTTTTTTCCCTTTTTTTCTTTAGCCCATTAAAATTGAAATACAAGATATGCTACATGTATGTAGTATTCTGATCATATACAAATATAAGCATAATATAATTACATGGACATCTTTATTGTCATACTTATTTGAGTGTAGCTCTGTCAAGAATTTTTTTTATACAATTAATCGACTAATCGGTCTGAACGTCTTGCGGTTAACCGATTGGCAATTCTGTATTCAATTGCCATCCCTATCCCTTACCTGGTCACTATTAAACTATGTAGCGAATTTACCCCATGGATGGCACATATATTCAGGGGTTTATGGTTTGTAAAATTGTTTCTCCCAGCTATTTTTTCAATCACTTCTGAACAGTGCCTATTATGATGTCACATTGTGCTTTGTAATATTGTTTTGTTGTGAGTGTTTCATGCAATAATAATGAACAGACAGTTTTGAAGAATTTTAATAAGGGAGAAAAAGGTTCCTTAACATGCCCTTGTTACTGACATTATAGTCAGTGCTGTAATTATCAAAAAGATACAGGAAAGTTACAAAAGAACGATAAATCTGTATTGACTGTATATTGATTGTCATTTGACCATGTGTGTATAAGTATTACACCCCTTTCATGTGACAGATGTCAACCAATCCTAAGCCAGGATTTTATCAAAACATCATCAGAGGGGAATAAATTAGCATACTATGGATTAAAAACTTAGTACATGTATCTACAGTGTATATTGCAGTGTTTGTTTAAATATGTTCATTCTGTTTTACAGCTACAGATTTTACAATAGCAGAGGTGGAAACAGAGTATTGTACAAAGGTGGGGCTTGCCTCCTTTAGTTTTTTAGCTCACCTGAGCTGAAAGCTCAAGTGAGCTTTTCTGATCACATTTTGTCTGTAGTCCGTCTGTCTGTCCGTCCGTCTGTCTGTAAACTTTTAACATTTTCGACTTCTTCTCAAGAACCACTGAGCCAATTTCAACCAAACTTGCCACAAAGCATCCTTGGGTGAAGGGGGTTCAAGTTTGTTCAAATGAAGGGCCACGCCTTCATTCAAGGGGAGATAATTCAGAAAAAGTGAAAATTTGATGGCATATTTTAACAATCTTCTTCTCAAGAACCACTGGCTAAAAAAATTTAAAACTTATAAGAAATTTTCATTACATAGTGTAGATTCAAGTTTATTCAAATCATGACCCCTTGGGGTAGGGTGGGGCCACAATAGGGGATCAAAGTTTTACATAGGAATATATAGAAAAAAAAACTTTAAAAATCTTCTTCTCAAGAACAACAAGGCCATGATCAGTCATATTGATATGGAATCATCCTCAGGTACTGTACATTCAAGTTTGTTCAAACCCCTACCCCTGGGGGTAGGATGGGGTTACAATGGGGGATCAAAGTTTTACATAGAAATATATAGGAAAAAAACTTTGAAAATCTTCTTCTCGAGAACAGCAAAACCTTGTTTAGTCAAACTGATATGTAAGCATCCTCAGGTAGTGAAGATTCAAGTTTGCTCAAATCATGAACCCTGGGGTTGGGGTGGGGCCACAATGGGGAATCAAATTTTTACATAGGGATATATAGGGGGAAAAAACTGTAAAAATCTTCTTCTCAAGATCAGCAAAGCCTTGTTTAGTCATATTGATATGTAAGCATCCTTAGATAGTGTAGATTTAAGTTTGTTCAAATCATTACCCCTGGGGGTAGGGTGGGTTTACAATGGGGATCAAAGTTTTACATAGGAATATATAGGAAAAAAACTTTTAAAAATCTTCTTCTCAAGAACAGCAAAGCCGTGTTTAGTCATATTAATATGGAAGCATTCTCCGGTATTGTAGATTCAAGTTTGTTCAAATCATGACCACTGGAGGTAGGGTGGGGCCACAATGAGGGATCAAATTTTTACATAGAAATATATAGGAAAAAATCTTTTTCTCAAGAACAGCAAAGCCATGTGTAGTAATATTGACATGGAAGCATCTTCAGGTAGTGTAGATTCAAATTTGTTCAAATGATGATCCTCGGGGGTAGGGAGGGGCCACAATGGGGTATCAAATTTTTACAAAGGAATACATAGCAAAGAATCTTAAAAATCTTCTTCTCAAGAATAGCAAAGCCATTTGTTATATTGATATGGAAGCATCCTCAGGCAGTTTTAAAAATTTCAAGCCCCCCCCCCCCCCCCCCCCCCCCCCTCCTGATGTAAACTTTTCAATACTGAACTGATTTGTGCTTTTTCCTAGCCAATATGCTCAGGTGAGCAATGTGGCCCATGGGCCTCTTGTTTTTCTTGTAATGTTAAAGATTTTGAAATAAACTGATTCATGTACAACTAGTACTTTTAGCAGAATTAATGTGGGTAGTTTTTCTTGTATATGTATCGGTATATACTTGGAAGCTTTTCTTTTCAGCATCCTATAACTCTGTCAGAAAATGAGTTGTGTACATTGTACTACAAGAAAGATATGAAATTCAAAGTGCCAAAAGGTTAGTGTTTCTCCACTAAAAAGGAGAGATAATTCATAAAGTGAACCACATTTATAGGTCAGTGTACCATACATGGAGCTTGATCTCGCAAGAAAAACTATTACTAAAAAAAAATACAAACAGAAAAAACATTTTTCTGGCTGAAAAACATCTTTGTGTTTGGGGAAATTAGTTTGTGTGTTACAATTTCCTATTATTTTAAAACTGTCATTTAAAGAGAAATGTAAATGTTCAAAACACTGACATTGATAGCAACATTTTTGTCATCATAAATTGGTGCATTGTTTCTTGATATCATGTGAAAAGTTATCCCTTTGTAAAGGAAATATGGATGGTGATATTCCAGCATTTTTAGACATTTGCCAGATCAGATAGTTAAAAGTTTTATGGCTTACAATGAAAAAAATTCTTTTGTAGCTTATGTGTGTGTTCAGTTGATGTCACCAGTGGCCAGCCAATCAGTGAAGAGGTAAGATTTCATTGAAGACATGGCGTACAATAACACACGCAAAACCTTGTCACAGCGCAGTAGAATTACAGGTAACTCTTGATGGCTCGAACTTCGATCTCTCGAAGTTCTTGATCGCTCGAAGTGAGTCTCCGGTCCCGAATTATTCCCCTATATAACTAAGCAAATTTACTCTTGATTTCTCGAACTCTTGATCTCTCGAAACCCTTGATCCCTCGAAGTCAAAAATTCAGTCCCGCTATGCATATTCAATTAGATTTTACCCTCGATAGCTCGAAGTGGCTATGTGTATACAAGGTTATATAATTGGCACCTTTACCTGGACATTAAATGGCCCCAGGCAGAAGACGCGGGTCTCGAGGAACGGGATGTTTATTCAGGTTACACTTATGCTGCAAGGTCACCAAGGTGATAATTGATTTATAATTAATCATTTTTGCCTATATGCTATTAAAATAATTATCATCGACTGTCTTACGATGATTCAGAGATGGAATGTCAGTGAAAAGTAGTAATTGATTACAAGACGAAACACTAATTTAATTTTTATTTCGAGTCAGTGTCAAAGTTAAACGAAATATGAAAAAGCATTAACAGCCTCAATGTCAATATGATGACTATTGTTGGACAAATACTTACAGAACTCCGTTCAATGATCATGTTAATATGGATTTATAGTCAATGCTACATGTATGTATGCGACGCGGTAAAATGTCGTTTTCATGTAACGAATGCGTAGTATGATGTCCATATTACAAAGAATAAATAAATATACATGAAATGATTTACATATTTTGCTTTACTCAGTTTAATGAAATATTCATCTAAATTACGAAAAAATATCGTTGTTTTATATAAACCATGTGTAAAAGGTTAGCACTGCATGAAAATCATTACATCCGGTTAGACTAATTTTAAAACCTGTCAACAAACCCGGAAAATTCCGGACTCTTGAAAACTCGAACTCTTGATCTCTCGAAGTTTTTCCTCGGTCCCGCAGACTTCGAGGTATCGAGAGTTACCTGTATATGGTAGGAACTATATGCTCTTTCAATACTTTAGGAACACCAAAATGTATATTGTTTTGACTCAATTTAATGGAAAATAAACTAGGTTAAATTAACCTAAAAATACAACAACTGTGCGTTTAAAATTAATTTGTCTTTTTTTTTCTCGCAATGTTCATTTGCATTATTTAACTTTACAACATCACAAACGGCTCTTACATCTATAAAGCAAACCAGTTCTGAAAGGCGTTAAATTCATAATGAATATTAAAGAATTTAAACAATCATGAAGAGGGAAAATTAGAGAATATATAAATATAAGCATTGAATTCTTATTTTTGAATGTCATCGGTCCTATAACATACCTAGCCATGCCAACAAATTATCATAAGGTGCTAGCATGCAGTATTCAATTTGTCGGTACAGCCAGGTGTGTTATAGGACTGACGACATCCAAAAATAAGAATTCAATGCTTGAGTGCATGTATTTTCATTCAGATCAATTAACCGAACTTATGTATGAGAAGCAGAGTATGATCAAATGAGATTAGATAATTCCTGTAGACATAATGCTTTAAATGGTTCTTGTTATCAAATGCTTTCTCTATAATTAGGGCCCCGCTCTATGGGGGCCCTATAGTGATCAGTCTGTCAGTCCGTCCATCTGTCCATCCGAGATCTCTTGTCTGGAGCATATCTTCTCTCTCCTTGGCCCAATCTGGCTCATACTTAAACCACAGAGTCCCTTTGGGTAGAAGGTGTGTAGTGACCTTGAACCATGTTTCTAGGTCTAAGGTTAAGGTCATAGCAGAATTATATGAAAAATCCTTGTCCGGAGCATATCTTCTCTCCCCTTGGTCCAATGTGGCTCATACTTCACTCACAGGGTACCACTGGTCAATGGATGTGCAGTGACCTTGAACGAAGTTTCTAGGTCAAGGGTCAAGGTCTAAAATAGCCTCTCTGTTTAGAATCTTTGTTCGGTGCATAATTTCCTTCTCTTAAGTCCAGTCAGCCTCAAACTTTAACAATTGACTTACGGTACGGAACATTTGTGATTTTCCTTCCATATTTTGATAGAGGATATGCAACAATTTTCATAGAGGATATGCAACATTCGTGAATTTTGTGCTGTTTTTTTGATAGAGGGTATGGAGTACTCGTGATTTACGTGCCATTTTTTATTATAACAAGGATGACATAGAAGCCCTTTAGACTCAAACAACACATCCCTTAATAGTACACAAATGTTCCTTTTCAAAATAAACCCTTTTCAGCTACCTTACATTTTCATGTTCGTTGCTGAAAGCGGGGCCCTTTGAGATGGCCACCATCTCAATGATCTCTAGTTTTCACTAGATATAGAAAAAAAATAAAAGCATTGTATTTGCTGAATACTCTACATACATACTCTCAAGTATAATGATTAATGGTATTTTGCAGCCAAGGCCTGCTGAAAATATTTGAGGCTGTGATGAACCATAAATTGGATGCCCCCACATATCCTGCTATCATGGCTGGCTTTGAGTAAGTTGATTTTGAGCTTGAGAATATTTTCCAGTACTAGACCCATTAAAACAAAGTATGGTATAAGTTTTGGCCAATGACCTATGCATTCTACTGTGAAACTCCTGCAAAAATGCAAAGCAATTTTTATGCTTAATTTATCTGGGTTTTATCCTTAAAATTCATATTATCTGAATATCATGGTAAACTTTCTTTTCTTGATTAAAATTGTTTAAATTTCAGCTACTCAGTCAATGTGGATGATACAGGACTTAAATTCAAAGTGAATGGATTTAATCAGAAATTGCCTGTAAGAATTCTTATCAAATTTTTTTCTTTTATCTTCATATTGTTTAATGGAGGTCCATATAAGAACATACAAGTAATTACAGATAAATACTTCCAATATTTGGAAGTAAATATGTTCCAAAATTCCATGTACATGTTTGATACTGCTTAATCTGAGAGGTCTGTATTGTTTGTTTTGATTTGTTGTAGGAGCTGTTTGATCTACTTCTGACAGCTGTTTTTGACTATGCCTGCAATGATGAGTTGTTTCCCATCATGAGAAATAAAGTGAAGAGGGAGATTTTTAATGCCATCATCAGACCATCTGAACTTGTCAGGCAAGAATGTCTGTCCGTCTGTCTGTCTGTCTGTCTATCCGTCTGTTATTCTTCCGTCCACAAATTTTCTGTTTTTTTTCTAATAACTTTTTTTAGGGTCTAGCAATTAAGTTCAAATTTGGTTAAGTTGGTTGAATAGGCAGTAAGACATATTTTGATCTAAGTTTGGTTCTCTATTTAATCCCGTTTGGAGCTGGGGTGGTGGGGTAGATTCCTGAACTTTATATAAGAGTGAATGGGCAAAGAGAGATAACTGCTGAGAATGTTCATATTGTATTGTGTATCTCTTGGGATTAATTAACTTTCCTCTTGAAAAAAATCCAAAGAATTTCTCTTTATCTGTCACTCTGAAATTAATTTATAACGATTCTGTGTAACCACTTAAACTTCTTTGCCACGCATGGTCACCGATTTTGATGAAACTTTGCCCATTATTACAACTTGACACCAGAAACATATATCAAATAAAATTTCGTTGCTATGTGTTTTGTTGCCATGGTAACAGCCAGAAAAGTTGGAAAAACTGAGATTTTCAGCAACTTTGAATCTTTATTAAGCCTTAATAAAGACTAAGAAAAACAAATATACCATTCTCACAAAAACATGACACCTTGTTGCCACTTATGCTATAAAGCAACTATTTAGAATTTGTCTCTAAGTAATTGGTAACCATGGGTACATTTGGAATGCATTTTAGATGCTGAAAAATGCTCTATATTCACTAATGATAGGTGTTACACGATGAAACTCAATCAACAACCTAAGAAAAACAATAAAAATATTTGACCTTAAGTAATTAGGTATTTGCAATATTATTCTAAAAATAACTTTCATAGTTGCCATGGTAACACAGTGTAACCATGCAAAATTTGTTGCTAAGATTATGTTAATGCTACTATCTTGAGGAAAAACAATAAAATTCATGACTGGCACATAAACATCCTTAGGACCTTGCAACACCCAAGAAAAATTGGGATTAGTTGTTACTTTGCAGTGTAACCATGGAAATAAAGTACCAGTTGTTTAAAGTGATATTTTTTTACTGCTTTAGGAATTTACTTACCTTTTAATCAAAAAACATATTATTTGACTCACCTTGAATAGTTCTTATCTGGTAGAACTAAGGTTGAATATCATACATTGATAAAGTTTGTTGAAAAATACAACACTGTTGCTATGGTTCCCAAGAAGTGAAAATGTTTAATTTTGTTAATTTTCTATTAATATTAAACCTTATGTGCCAGCTTTTTGCATCCAGTTAGAGATTGGGTGGTAGTCAAAATTGAAAGTCAGGTTAGTTGTTCATAAATATCAATCATAAAAGTTTTGGGAATCTACATACAATGGTACATATCCAAGGAAACAGAATATTTTTCAGATTTTTAGGCGTATTTTTTTGGCTAATTTCCATAGCAATGCTCTATTTAAAGAATTAAATTTTAATTTTTTGAAATGTGAAAATTAGGGTCACACCAACGCCTTTAAAAATTGATCATCAGTTATATAGAAGTATGCTTTTTTAAAAGATAGGATAAGATTAAAACACTAAAAGAGTCAATTTAAAATCCCTTCGTGGTATTAAAACCATGGCAACCATTGCCGATCTATAAGAAATATCATATTTCTTCCTTGGTATATGTTACAAGGATCTTTTGTCTATTATTTGCTTGCATTTCAACCTGTAATTGTTTTTATTCTTAAGTGTATGACTTTTTAAAATTAAATGAACAAAATTATTACTTTTGAATACTTAGTTTCCATAGTAACATGTATAGTAGTTGATTTACCAAATATGTTTATCATGCATTTAAGACGTCATGCCTTCAACTTTCAGAAACAGCCATTGCCACTTGTTTGCTTTGCTGCAAACGTTAACTGTAGGACTCTGAACTTGTTAAAAAACGCCATTTTTTAAACTTTAGGACATGTTGCTATGGTAACCATGACACGTAGCAACCATTTTTTGACTGATTTTAGTTTACAGTATCAAAGACTTACCATAGAGAGTTTGGAGAAATTCTGTGACTATGCATGCCACAGCTCCTATATAAAAGCTCAGGTCATTACAGAGAATGCTCTTACATGTAACACCTCTGTCTGCAAATGAAGTTTGTTTTGAAGTTAAGGTCAATTCTGAATGATGTTTACATTCTCTGAAATGTGGTTTAAATAATGTTCATACTTTATTTTGGTAAAATACACAATGAGTTATGATTTTATTGAATTCTAAAAACAAGATATAGATAAAGATATCTTTTTTATTATTATTTTATTTTTTTCATTTTTTTTCTGCCTTATGTAAATTAAAGAATACTATTTATTTTAACAAGTATTCATATAAAAACCTCATTCTATCATTGCTGAAAAAGTTCTTATTATAAACTTAGAAGAAAAGGTTGAGAGAGCAGTATAATTAATCTCCTGGGATTGATTCTCTTGCTGGTTGCAGAAAATTTTAGATGGTTATCTTTCTGTCACTTTAAGATTAATTAACACCTTTGTCTGCAACTGATGTTTGTTCTAAAGTTAAGGTCAAGCCTGGGTGACATTTGCATTCACTGAAGGCTGGCATTTTAGAAAACACGTGGCTGCTTCATTCTTCTTTAAATATACATTAAATTGAGTTATTATAGATATGATGTTTTTTACTGCCTTATGTAAATACAAGGATACTATTTACAGGTTGGATATTCAGGAATTATCTTGGAAATTTTATAAATACAGTTGCTGTTGCTTGTTCTTCTTTATATATTTTTAAATTTTTGTAATCAAGTAAAATTCTCATCCCCTAATCTGCACCCTCATATTTCTACCTCTCGGCGGGGCCCTTGCTGACTGGTCAGATTTCTAGTTTTATACTTGAATTTGCCAGTTGAATACTTGAATTTTAGATTCTAACAACCCATAATTAAGGAAGATTGACTGAATGATGGTACAAATTTATTTTAATCAGTTAATAATGTATTTCTTATTTGCTATCAGTATTGCTGATTTTTTCCCTCCCTATTCTACATCACACGTATTTACATTTTTACTATGAATGGACAAATAAAATGTTTTCTGTAACATGCATTCATGTTTGTTGATTTTCCTTACAGAATGTTACGATTTTCTGTGATAGACCCCCACTATAGATCCGCACCTGAAGTATACAGTATAATTGACAGTCTGACTAATAAGGATCTTCGACACTTCCTAACAGAGTTCAGACAGAGTATAAAAGCAGACATCTTAGTGGTTGGCAATGTTACACCCAAGGTAAATCTTAGGAAGATGAAGTTAATGACAAACAGTTACAAACATCTCTAGTTTTGCCTGATTAAACAGAAATATGAAATTATAAAATTAGGTTACTTACTTACTTACTTACTGCCCATTACACCTTTGGCATGTATAGGGTAGTACATGTATCAAGGGTTCTCCATCCCTGTCACGGGTTAGCTTCTGGGGTGTGACCAAACTTTTCTTTAGTTCCTTTGTTTTACAATGTCATTTTAAATCAACTGCAACAAATCTGAAATTTACCTATGAATTTCCTGTTTCGCAGGACGCTACTTGTTATAAGGAGAGAGTGGAATCAAAATTATGTGGAAAAGTGGAACCTTCTAAAATGTACCAGGTAAATAGATACATGGTAGGAAATAAATAAATGAATATGTTGTAAAAACAAGATAAAAGAGAGAGGGATCTATTTATGTCTAAGATATCCAGGTTTTTAGTGCATTTCTTTTATTCCTGTAATTGCTGAAACTTGTGAGAACATGTGCTCAATACTGGAAATATTCTATGCATTATAATTACATTTGTGTTCAATTACAACTATATTTGTTTAGATACATATAACTGAAAAGTTTTACTTTTTGTGTGTGTTGTAGAGAAGATTGTACCAGATTCCTAAACAGTGGAGTTACTGCCAGACAAATAGCTTTAACATGGAGGATGCCAACTCCAGCATTACTGTGTACCTCCAGTCTGACCCCGGGGATATCAGGTCAACTGTCATTAACGAACTCTTAGATGTAAGTGTTATAAGCTTCTCTAAAGATTCCATCAGAGTACTCCATGAAGTCTGATTTTCATTTATTCATTTATGCATTTTTTGCCATGTTTTAGGACATTTATTTATGAGAGCTACATTCCTCATATAGCACTCCACATGTTATTACTTCTATTTCTTTTTATACAGTTAAGAATGCAGGAGCCCTGTTTTGATGTGTTGAGGACACAACTACAGCTAGGATACACTGTATACTGTCAGAATCTGGTCACCAATGGCATCATGGGACTCGCTGTAACAGTCCAATTTCAAGCCCAGAAGTTCACGTAAGAGTTACATTATCTGTACGTATACATTATGACATTATACATTAGGTTATTCTGAAACCTGGGAGATTTCATGCAAATGAATTACAGCTTTTATTTTACATTTTCACTGTTAAGTTAATTTACTGTTTCATTACAACTTTCAAGATTGATGAGGTTATAAAGAGTATTTTTCATTTATTTGATTTAGTGTTACTTCTGTAAAATGAATTTTCTTGACAGTATTTATGTAAAAAAAACTTGATTAACTGATTAACAAAATTATTATATTTTGTTTAGAATGCATGAAGTCGACAACCATATTGAGGATTTTCTGAACAAGTTCAAAGAAATCTTGGATGAAATGTCCAAAGAAGAGTTTGATACTTTGGTAATTACTGAACTCATTATAATTCTGTTGTTTAAACAATTTCATTGCCTCCCTGAAAAACTTTACTGTATACTTCATGTAGAAATGTGATCATTGTTGTCTTGGTCTTAAGTCATTGTGGTGTATCTGAAGTCCCTGTGGTATATTTAAGGTGGAGTCTTTGATAGCAGCCAAGCTGACAGAGGACACACAGTTAGAGGAGGAAGTCAACAGATACTGGGGGGAGTGCAAGGAACAAAACTATGTGTTTGACCGACTAGAGAAAGAGGTCTTTATTATATTATGTGTATTTATAATGATTGTTAAAAAATAAAGGACAGCCAGTGAATTAAGTGCATATATATGTTTTCTGATACAATTTTGTATATGAAGTCTGGAGTGCTATTATAACATACATTGTAGGTATTCTAATGTGTATGGATGTTCATTCCTTGGAGTGATCAACTTTTTCTTTTACTGTAGGTAGCTGTACTGAGGATGTTAACAGTAGAAGACCTGCAGAACTGGTACAAACAGTATCTGGGAGAAAATCAGAAACGGATAAGCTTTCAGGTATAAAAACTCGCATCAGTATTTACTGTCACATTCTAGAAAACTTGTTTTGACCATGAATTTAAAAATACAAGCAATACATTAATCTTTGTAAAAGTTAGTGGTGTCATTATCAGATTCAACTTGTTGCTGTGAATTTATTTACATGTATTAAAACAAGATTTGTTTGTGAAACACTAACTCCCATATGGCAGCTCATGGTGAAGGTTAAAGTTTCTCAAATGCAAGTCAAACTCCAAGGTCAAGGTGAAGAGATCAAAAATGTTGGTACCCGAAGAAAGGTATTGTCACAAGGAATACACCTGTGAAATATGAAAGCCCCTGCAGCAACCATTCAGAAATTATGGTCAAGGTTAAAGTTTTTCAAAAGCTCAAGGTCATGTGGTCAAAAATATTAGTACTTAAGAAAAAGTCTTATCACAAGGAATGCATCTGTGAAATATGAAAGCTCTAGCCCCAAGCTTTCAAAAGTTATGACCAAGGTTAAGGTTTTTCAAAAGTAGGTCAAACTCAGAGATCAAGGTCAAAAGGTCAAATTGTTGGTTCCAAAAAAGTTCTTGACACATGGAAAACACATGTGAAATATGAAAGCCCAGGCACCAACCTTTTACAAGTTAAGGCCAAGGTTGAAGTTTTTCAAAAGTAGGTCAATCTCCAAGGTCAAGGTCGAAGGGTCAAAAATATTTGTACTCAAAGATAGGTCTTGTCACAAGGAATACACATGCAAAATATGAGAGCTAGCACTAACCATTCACAAGTTATGGTCACGGTTAAAGTTTTTCAAAAGTAGGTCAAATTCCAAGCTCAAGGTAATAAATATTCGTATCCAGGAGAAGGTTTTATCACAAGGAATACATATGTTAAGTATGAAAGCTCTAGCACTAACCATTCAAAGGTTATGACCAAGATTTAATCTAATATTTGTGCTCCAGGTTCTTGGAAACCCAGAAGTGGAGCAAGTAGATGGAAAGGGTGATGAAGTGGAACCTCCCCAGAAGAAAGCTAACACAGACAAATGTGATAGAGAACAGGGCTACATTGTGAGACCTGTCAAAGACTGTAACTACCCAGATCATCAATGTATCAGTGACATACAACACCTCAGATCTAAACTCACAATGTTTGACTACCACTGTATCACAAAATGATGAAAGCTGGAGATAGGCACAATGATCAATGTTAAAAGAAAGGGGGGATGGGGGCTTAGTTCTGTTTTAATTGTTTCAATATTTTGACCTTTTAAAGAAAAGAAACTATCATTCAGGAAGTGGGACATTCAGTCATTGTGGTAATTAAGCATGAGGTTATTTCATGAGGTAATGAAACATGGTGTAAGATATACATGTACCACAAAGAAACAAAAGCTTTCAAAAAATGAATACAGTTGAACTTCGGTATCTCGAACACTGATATCAAGAATACCATAATTATATATGTCAAAGTGAATTGGAAGTCGATCCAACCACTTATTCTTTAAGTATTTAACCCTCGAATACTCGGATATCTCAAAAGTTTTTTTCTTGATGCCATTAAGTTTGAGATAACGAGGTTTGACTGTATTAAATCTTCATAATATACCAAAACATAAAGGAGATTGGAATATGGTGAGGGCAACATATCACTGATAAAGATTATTCATGGATGACATAGCATGTGGAAAGGTACAGCTTCTGTAGCTATATAATCATTGTTTGTATTGACATTGGGAAGTCTAATAAAATTTCTAAATTTCTTTTTTCTTATTCATTATGATATTGGATCACAGAAAGATAGAAGTCAATGGGGAGACAGAAAAATGTCATTTAGATCATAATCAGCAAGTTTTGGTTTCGGAATGACTTTTATATATTTATTGTTCCTGAGTGATGGGTAAGACAGCGACTTTGCAAATCAGCTATTTTTATGCCCACGAAAATTAGAACTCTATATTAATAATCAACATATGATGATTGTTTATATAGCAAATTACTAAGTCAATAGGACGGTTCCTTAGGCATTAAGAATATGCAATATGAAAGGAAATGTTCCATGTTTCTCAAGTCAAAATTCTCGAATTATTTGATTTCGATGAGATTTATATGTGTATAGAATATGAAGTGATCCTTTTCTGAATTCAATACAATGTAATACGAACTAAGAGGAAAATGAAGAACAATTATATCAAGGTCAAGGTCAGATGGAACATGGACCACAAAATTATGACAGATGAATTGCTTTCATTAATCTGAATCTGCATTTGAAGTCTTATCAATTTTTTAAAAACTTTCCAATGGATATAAATGTGTAAATGCAATTTTGGAGAGGTGTAGTCAAAGTCATCTTAAAAATAAAATAGTTATCCTTGGACCAAGGTAACGCTTGTGGCTCATGGACCTCCTGTAATATGTGTAAATGCACTGCCTATAAACAAACTATTAACACCTGTATCAGTTATAATCAGTTTATTAAACAACCAGAATTACATTCTTCAGATTTTTATCACAGATTACATGTTATCAATCATGAATAATAAATGCTCTCAGTCTTGTAAAATATTAAAAATAAAACAAATTAAATAAATACACATTTAACATTGATATATCATTAATAAACCAGTCTTCTAGGACTAAGTTACTGTTGACAGCAGATAACAGGAAGTCCACAATGCCAGCGACAAATCCAAAACAAAATGCAGTAAAAAATATATATGTGCAGTTTGTCTTGGTATTGAATTTGCCCCTCCCATCACTTTAAATCCCATCACCAGGTGCTGATCACAGACAAATGCAGGGCCTCTGGTATGTGAGGGCATCACGGGTCATGTGACATCCATCACAGATTGCAAAGAGTATAATCAGTTCACACCCAAATTATGCTATTATTATATACTATAATAGAAATAAATCATTTACATATGTACATTTTAAAAATCATGCCATCTATATAGGCTTAGTCTACTTTTCTTCTGTCCAAGTACATGCAAAAAAGTGAATCTTTAAAATTATCACTTCTTGAAGTATTTGTTTTTTTCTATTCCATTGTTTTTGTGCTGTGTATATCCATATCCTGGGTTGGATTATTAAGAATTCCACGAATATCCTGCAAAATAATAATTAAAACCATAGCACTTTTTTTCACACATGCTACTTGCCAGTACTTGGGATGCATAATAATAGGTCTTCAATTAGGTCATATAATCGTACATGTATATTTCTGTAGAGGAGGTTGAATACACATGTATATTATGTCATTTTAAAAAAATGTATAGTCCAGACTGTGCATTATTCATCTACATTTTCTGGACTCATTTGAAACCTTGGCAAGAATGTAGTTATTATTCATGTATAGAACTTTTTAGTATTGAGTTACTGACCAGAGATTTAAATGTTTGGCAGGCAGCCATTACATCTTGTACGAGGGGATGTTCCACAAGGACTTTGTAGGGAAGAGGTTCTAAATTAACACTGCCCAACTCCTGGTACACACTTGACAGCTTCTCCTATAAATAATCAACACACTTCAAATCAAAATTAAAACTTGTAGGAATTACTTTATGTGTATCCAGAATGCACACCCTCTCGAAAAAAAAAAAAAAAACAAACAAACAAAAAAAAAAAAAAAACATGCATGCATGCAAATTCACTTATTTCTGATAAAGGTTGATTACAATTCTGAATTCTGACTGGTTCATATGAAATACTTTTACTGGATCTACAAGTAAAATGTTGGACTGAACAGAACTCTCTTATTAGTTCAGTTACTGACTTAGATGTGGCACCCTCTTTTCAAATACTAATGTATGGATTGCACTCTCTTGGTTTGAGTAATCAGAAACACTTTTTTAATGTGTATTTTTGTTATTTCAGATAAACTGCCAGCAAATAAGTATTCAATAGAACAGACTAGACAGTTCAACTGAATAGCAAGCATACTCTTTTAATAACAACCAGCACATGCATTATTTTCTATACTTAGAAAATTCTGAATCAGTCTATCTATATATTTGCTAAGGTTTTAAACTCCTTCTCCAACTAAAATTATTGTTGTCTCCAGTCTACCATGGGAAACACACATGATAAAATATATTGTAAATCATTTCTCTTTAATTTGAGCTCAGATACAAAGATATTTTCTTCTTGACTATTATGTTCTAAGCTGTCTTTGCTTTTGATAATTAGAAAGAATATTGTACTCAATTATAAGGACAGAATATCATGATTTCCTGGTCGTGTTCAAACTTGGGAAAGTACTTTGCATGCATGAAAACATTTGGTTTACAGTAATATAAACCTACCTATCAGATCTACTTGATGCCCTCATATCATTTCAAGGTAATGGGTCAAAGAGATTTCTTTCTGAAGTTCCAAACAAGAAGGAGTACATTAAAGATTTAATACAGCTTTTTAATAAAACAGGGACAAAAATCAGTATTCTGGAATGCATGTAATACCATGATTGGTATGAAATGGAGATTGGTAAAACAGATTGGTTCACAGATACTTTTCAAAGTCTTTACAAATATCAAGCAGTTTTTTGAAGGACGTTGAGAATATTATTAAAGAAAAGACCCACATGCGCTGACAATCTTTTATAAATACCTTAGTGCTTTTCTTTCTTTAATGAAAAAGTGTTTGTTTTGGCAGAACTTTCCTTTCATTACAGTAATTCTATTTCTGTTAATACATCATCAAAATACATGTATAGTGTACCTTAAAATATGAAATTTGAGTATCGACCATGGATGCAGGGTTGAGAGTATTATGTTAAACTGAATTTGATTTTGAAGTACAAAAGATTTCTGCAGAAGTAGTTTTGAATTGAATTTACATATATGCAACCTCAAACAAAAACATTTTTCACAATGTCTAATGTCTGTTGTTTTTGTTTTGTTTGTTGTCCCCCGTTTTTGCTAAAGCAAGGGTATATTTAATCTCCTTTGTCTGTAAGTCTGTCACAAAAACTCTAATTTTGATCATAACTTTAATATGACAAAAGATAGGTCTTTCATATTTCACATGTACATTATCTGTGATAAGTCCTTTCCAAATGAAATATGATTTTTGAGTGTTTGACCTTGACCTTGAATTCTGACCTTCTTTTTCAAACATTTAACATCGGTGATAACGTTTGATTAAGAAAAGATAGGATATTCATATTTGATGTATGAATTACCTTTGAGAAGAACTTTTCTAATATACAAATGATTTTTGATCCCATGACTTTGACCTGGAAGTTTGACCTACTTTTTAAATTCTTTTTATGATAGATGATAACTTTTGAATGAGAGAAGATAAGGCATTCATATTTGACATGTGATTGCCTGTGACAAGACCTTTCCAAATGTGCTTTTGTTTTTGACCTTGTGATCTTCACCTTCAAGTTAACCTTTAGTACTTTTCAAAATTTTTAACATTGGTGATAATGTTTGAATGAAAGAAGATAGGGCTTTCATATTTTACAGGTACATTCTTGTGACAATACCTTTCAGAAAGAGCTATCATTTTTGACTTCATTACCTTGACCTAGAAGTTTTACCTACTTATAAAAAAAAATTTAACTTTGACCGAACATTTGCTCCAGAAGAAACTGGGATTTCATTTTTTTTTCACATGTACATTACTTAATGTACAAGACCTGACAAGACCTTTCAGATTATATTATGATATTTGACCTCGTGACCTTGATCTTGAAGTTTGATGCAGTTTAAAGAAACTTTTATCTTCACTGTAACTTTAATTCATTCAAAAATTTAATTTTTTTTTTGGGGGGGGGGGGGGTATGATGGACAGACAATAATAATATATATATTGCTATAATACAGGTCTAGAACTAAACGTGCGTCAATTCCTGAGTTTTATCCAAGTTTTATAATCATTCAATTTTTCTTTAAGCAAACAACCAAGACAGACATTCGATCACCTTCAGGTAGGCTTTGAAAGAATTTTCTCTGGAAACACAAGACAGTTATATTTTTATGTTCCCCAAACGAAGGTTGGGAACATATTGTTTTTACTCTGTTTCTTATTAAGGTCTTCCGTCTTCACGGAAGACCTTATAGTGATTCTACTGTTTCTTATTATTAAGGTCTTCCGTCTTCACGGAAGACCTTATAGTGATTCTACTGTTTCTTATTATTATTCTTATTTTTTAGACAAATTTTGTGCACGCAATATCTCGAGAACTATTCAATGGTTTTTCATCAAAC